AACCACACAAACGTTTATACTATATAAGTAAGAACTTGGCTTACCTTTTAAAAGCGGCCGCTTTTGTTTGTATGGTCCGTCCAAGCCGTTTCATAACTGCAGATGTACACCATCTCTGGACCCTTTTTTTCAACTCCTGGCAAGCTCGCCAAATATGTCGTAGAAATATTTGACTAAAAAAGAGTCAACTCAAAAATATCTCTCAAGAGACTGGAGCTTGTGAATCCAGAAATTATACTTTATTATTGCGTAACAAAGCCGAGCCACTCCATGGAACGGCTGTCTCTCTTTGGCTTAGAGATCTCTTATATACACACACAAATGCACAGTCATGTATACATAGCTTACAAAGCTACTCCCCTTAAGATCACTGATTAACATCTTTAACTGCCACGCCACTATTATCTTTGAAAGTCCAATAACACATGTTGTTTACTCCAAAAGGCCATGGGCGCTTTTGCCTCTTTCCCTTATCTCATTATATTGGTGGCATGGCTCAGACACTTTTAAAAATAAAATACATACATTCATCAAAGCATGTTTACACATTGTATTGACTATGTTCCTTATTTAGACATGCATCTGGACTTATAAAATGTAAATCATGTTTACTATATTTTATCTTTGTCTTCCCCCATCTGATGGCAACACCGCCATCCTGACAGTTGTGGACCAGTTTTCCAAAGCTGCCCACTTCATTCCTCTCCCCAAGCTACCCTCCGCCAAAGACATGTCCCAGCTCATGGTGCAGCATGTTTTCCGGATCCATGGACTCCCAGTAGACATGGTCTCCGACCGGGGTCCTCAGTTCTCGTCCCGGTTCTGGAAGGCGTTCTGCACACTCTTTGGGTCGTCGGCCAGCCTGTCCTCCGGTTTCCATCAGTCCAATGGCCAGTCGGAGCGAACTAACTAAGACCTGGAGATGACTCTGCGCTGCCTGGTCTCTGCCAACCCCACCACCTGGAGCCAGCAAATGGTGTAGGTCGAATACGCCTGCAACACCCTTTCCTGCTCTGCCACGGGTCTTGCACCCTTTGAGTGTTCCCTGGGTTATCATCCCACGCTCTTCCCGGAGCAAGAGGAAGAGGTCGGCATACCCTCGGCCCAGATGTTTGTCCGCCGCTGTCGTCATACCTGGAGGAGATCCCGGTCGGCTCTTCTCAAGACCACCTCCAGGTATCGACGACAAGCGGACCGCCACCGGACCCCGGCTCCCCTGTATCGTCTCGGGCAGAAGGTACAGTGAGGGAAAGAAGTATTTGATCCCCTGCTGATTTTGTACGTTTGCCCACTGACAAAGACATGATCAGTCTATAATTTTAATGATAGATTTATTTGAACAGTGAGAGACAGAATAACAACAACAAAATCCAGAAAAACGCATGTCAAAAATGTTATAAATTGATTTGCATTTTAATGAGGGAAATAAGTATTTCACCCCCTCTCAATCAGAAAGATTTCTGGCTCCCAGGTGTCTTTTATACAGGTAACGAGCTGAGATTAGGAGCACACTCTTAAAGGGAGTGCTCCTAATCTCAGCTTGTTACCTGTATAAAAGACACCTGTCCACAGAAGCAATCAATCAATCAGATTCCAAACTCTCCACCATGGCTAAGACCAAAGAGCTCTCCAAGGATGTCAGGGACAAGATTGTAGACCTACACAAGGCTGGAATGGGCTACAAGACCATCACCAAGCAGCTTGGTGAGAAGGTGACAACAGTTGGTGCGATTATTCGCAAATGGAAGAAACACAAAATAACTGTCAAACTCCCTCGGCCTGGGGCTCCATGCAAGATCTCACCTCGTGGAGTTGCAATGATCATGAGAACGGTGAGGAATCAGCCCAGAACTACACGGGAGGATCTTGTCAATGATCTCAAGGCAGCTGGGAGCATAGTCACCAAGAAAACAATTGGTAACACACTACGCCGTGAAGGACTGAAATCCTGCCGCGCCCACAAGGTCCCCCTGCTCAAGAAAGCACATACACATGCCCGTCTGAAGTTTGCCAAACATCTGAATGATTCAGAGGAGAACTGGGTGAAAGTGTTGTGGTCAGATGAGACCAAAATGGAGCTCTTTGGCATCAACTCAACTCGCCGTGTTTGGAGGAGGAGGAATGCTGCCTATGACCCCAAGAACACCATCCCCACCGTCAAACATGGAGGTGGAAACATTATGCTTTGGGGGTGTTTTTCTGCTAAGGGGACAGGACATCTTCACCGCATCAAAGGGGCGATGGACGGGGCCATCTAGTGTCAAATCTTCGGTGAGAACCTCCTTCCCTCAGCCAGGGCATTGAAAATGGGTCGTGGATGGGTATTCCAGCATGACAATGACCCAAAACACACGGCCAAGGCAACAAAGGAGTGGCTCAAAAAGAAGCACATTAAGGTCCTGGAGAGTTCTAGAGAGTCTCCAGACCTTAATCCCATAGGAAATCTGTGGAGGGAGCTGAAGGTTCGAGTTGCCAAACGTCAGCCTCGAAACCTTAATGACTTGGACAAGATCTGCAAAGAGGAGTAGGACAAAATCCCTCCTGAGATGTGGGCTAACCTGGTGGCCAACTACAAGAAACGTCTGACCTCTGTGATTGCCAACAAGGGTTTTGCTACCAAGTACTAAGTAATGTTTTGCAGAGGGGTCAAATACTTATTTCCCTCATTAAAATGCAAATCAATTTATAACATTTTTGACATGCGTTTTCTGGATTTTTTTTTTGTTATTCTGTCTCTCACTGTTCAAATAAACCTACCATTAAAATTATAGACTGATCATTTCTTTGTCAGTGGGCAAACGTACAAAATCAGCAGGGGATCAAATACTTTTTTCCCTCACTGTATGGCTGTCCACCCGGGATCTGCCCCCTCCAGGTGGAGTCCCGCAAACTTTCCCCCCGGTTTATCGGCCCTTTCCCCATCTCAAAGATCATTAGCCCCTCTGCTGTTCGTCTTCTGTTGCCCCGTACCCTCCGTCTCACAGCCCTTTGTCTCCTGTTTCCAGGCCCACCCCTCTCCCCCATTTCATCGACGGCCAACCAGCATACACGGTGAGGCGTCTCCTGAAGGTTCGACCTCGGGGCAGGGGATTCCAGTATCTGGTTGACTGGGAGGGTTATGGCCCGGAGCAGAGGTGCTGGGTCCACGCTAGGGACATCCTGGACCCAGGCATCATCGCTGAGTTTCAACGCCGGCAGGTATGTGCCCAGGTAGGACGCCAGGTGGCGCCCCTAGAGGGGGGGGTACTGTCACACCCTGATCTGTTTCACCTGTCTTTGTGATTGTCTCCACCCCCCTCCAGGTGTTGCCCATCGTCCCTATTATCCCCAGTGTATTTATACCTGTATTCTCTGTTTGTCTGTTGCCAGTTCGTTTTGTTTTGTCAAGCCTACCAGCATTTTCCCCCTTGCTCCTGTCTTTTCAAGTTCCTGTTTTCTAGTTTTCCCGGTTTTGACCATTCTGCCTGCCCTGAGCCTGCCTGCCATTCTGTACCTTGTCACACCACCCTGGATTATTGACCTCTGCCTGCCCTGACCCTGAGACTGCCTGCCGTTCTGTACTTTTTGGACTCTGATCTGGATTACTGACCTCTGCCTACCCTTGACCTGTCGTTTGCCTGCCCCCTGTTTTTGTAATAAACGTTTGTTACTTCGACACTGTCTGCATCTGGGTTTTCTCCTGAAACTTGATATTAGTGTTACATTCACTGTAGCTGTCGACACTTAGACAAACAGAGAGCGCTCTTTGTGTTCCTGTTGCCTTGTAGTCAGTCCTTAGGTCATACTAAAGGCCTCCCTCAAACTCTATGGGTCTCTATGGCAATGAGGGTGGTAACAGTAACACATACAAACACAGTTAGTCTCACAGCACTCGTGGAAATGATCCATTGTGATAGAGAAACTCTTCAAAGACTATTAGAAGCATCTGTCATTTAAAATGCCATATGAGTTTAGGGTATTCGATCAATCCATTCCAAACAGCACATGGAATTGATTATATTTGCTTTTGAGTTCCAGTAGGATGCCATTGAATGGTTGAGCATTCCAGAATACTGACGTAGACATTAGGGCTCTCAGAATAATGTGATACGCCTCTGTAGCGTCCAGAAACCTCTGCCTTAATCCTGACCCACTCCACTCTGAGAGGGGAGATAACACGGGCAGATGCCTGGCCCCTGCCCAGACCATCAATCCAAAAACAAAGGGCTGCAACCCTGAACATTTAAACTGAACTATGATAACCTTTGCATTCAATTAATTTAATCACTTTTCCTGCTGTAAATTCAATTTCAGAGGATTTTATACATTTTGTTTACACTGCACCAAGCATATAGTGGCTTTTGTTTTACGTGACCAGTTTGTTTAACATTGATAGTCTGGCAATGGAAAAATCAATGATCAACAGGCATGCAGTTGCTTCTGGTATATTTTACTTGCAGCACAACAATAATTAGGCCTAGTCCAGTGCAGTAATTTAATCTATAGTAGACCTACTCAATTATACACAGTGGAAATTGAAGGGTAGGCTTATGCTACTACAAGAGCAAAAGTGTATTGACATATTTTCTTTGCTCAACTGAATGAAGCAATGTATCCTATAGGAACATATAAAATTATAATACGTTTTAAATGAACTCAGTAACACTCTGACATTGCGTTTGTAAGGGGCTGGGTGGAGGGGGCATACGTACTGCACCCTCTGCACATCAGCAGAGCCCACCAATCGCCTTTCTTGTTTATATTGCTACAACGTGTCAGTTGCCTTTATAAACTCTGGAACCTCACAGAGCAGCCTCACAGAGGGAGTTAGAGCATCTTTGTTGTCTGACAGCAGTAGACCAACAAAGCTCAATTTAGTGAAAAGCCTCAGACGTTTATTTGCACATTTATGTAACGTTTATTATTTATGCAGATCAAACTTATTTTTGTAGAAAGTCGTAAAGTTTAAAGAGTCGTTTTTTGACAACTTTGTACATTTTTAGATACTTTAATATTTAACCATGTTTTGGTCCGTCATCTGCGCAACTTTTCTTCTTGCTCCTTTAGTTTGCGAGGCAAGAACCAAGCAATATGTCATCGGCTGTCCAGATAAATGTGACACATTTCTATGTCCCCCGATCCCTGCGGACTGTATGGCCGGCGACATCCTTGACCAATGCGACTGCTGTCCGGTCTGTGCGTCCGGAGAAGGTGAGGTATGCGGCGGCACGGGGAGACTAGGGGACCCGGAGTGCGGAGAGGGCATGGACTGCTCGATATCGGACGGAATTGGGGTGTCCGCCACAGTAAGGCGTCGGGGCAAAAGTGGTGTGTGCGTCTGCAAAGGTTCGGACCCGGTGTGCGGCAGTGACGGGGTGTCCTACCGAAACATCTGCGAACTGAAGAGATTGAGTAACCGGGCTCTGAAGCTTCAGCAGCCACCGGTCATCTTCATACAGAGAGGAACCTGTAGCAAAGGTATGTGTCAGTGTTGGAAATCAACATAATGTATCAAAATCACTGTATGTTTTGGTAGAAGCATCAGCAAGCAAGTGCGATATTGTGCCTAAAACCATAATGTGTAAAAGGTGTAGGCCTAGACCAAATTGAAATAATATTATCCAGTGAATTGATCTTCGGTAAGATGACAATTTTTTTTGCTAAAAAAAAGTTGTCATCCTTATGTTCCCTAAATAACATGACTGTATATATGAAGGTTCAAAGGGATCTGTTTTACTATGGCCTAGAGCTGTGTTAGAAAATGATCCCTTCAGTTTGGACCCAGTGGTAGAGCCAGTTTGTCAGAATGTATCGCAATCACACCCAAGACATTTAACAGTAGCCTGCCAGTCAAACTAGACAGAGCTTTAGTGTCTTGACATGTTTTTCACAAGGAGATATGTGATGTTAATGATATCATATCAAAAAAATATCTTCATTTGTTGGTTAATAATACATTTTAATAGCAGTTTGATTGACATTTCAATGGTGTGCCTTCATGGCTGTTTTGACTAATTAAGTGACTGGCAGGGCTCCACATGCAGATGGTTTGATCTGAGTTGGCACAAAGCTGGCTACAAACATCAGCTCTCAGCACTTCAGTACTTCAGTTTAGTGCATCTTAATGCCAGAGGTCTTTCATTCCAAAGTCACATTTTATTATCTTAACACAGGGTCAAAACCTGTTGAAATCAGACCAGGCTTTCTTGAGAACTTGGTGTATGCAGTGGAAATAAATACTGGCTTTCTCGCCAATGTGTATAGTTGTGATGCTTGGCCTTGAGGTATATATCGAAAACACACACCCTCACACACACACAGCTGTGAACACACCATTCACACCTAGATACTTTTGTGGCAGTTAGTTTTCCGCTACAGTCGAGCCTCTGTTATAACTTGAGCCGTATCAGATTAGACAGATTACAGAGCACAGGAAGGTGAAATCTCAGCTCAGTTTAGTCCCTGTCTGAACATTTGAGTATCCAACTCCTGCTCCCCGCTCTTCACTCCCTCCTCCTCCTCCTCCTCCTCTTTTTCATCCTCTTCCTCCTCCTTCTCCTCCCTCTCCTAACTTTTGAACACAAAACTCCATCCCAGATTCTGGGACTCTGTTTCCCCCTTTCAGGTCAGAGGATTGGCTTACCTTGATATGAGTTTTACCTCACCACCCCAAAAATAGCTGTTTCACTCAAGAACTGAGCACAGGATTGCTCAGAGCTGAGTAAGGTTTCCAGGAGTTTCAGCCAAGCCAAAGATCTGGAAGGTCTCTCAGTCACAAACCATTACATGAGCTGCTTCCACCTATGATGTCATAGCATCTGGTCCTCATGGAGTCAGTACAGTGCCTTGCAAAAGTATTCATCCCTCTTGGCGTTTTTCCTATTTTGTTGCATTACAACCTGTAATTTAAATGAATTTATATTGGGATTTCATTTAATGGACATACACAAAATAGTCCAAATTGGGGAAGTGAAATTAAAAACATAACTTGTTAAAGAAAATTCAAAAAAATGCATATGTATTCACCCCCTTTGCTCTGTCACATGATCTCAGTATATATACACCTGTTCTGAAAGGCCCCTGAGTCTGCAACACCACTAAGCAAGGGGCACCATCAAGCAAGCGGCACCATGAAGACCAAGGAGCTCTCCAAACAGGTCAGGGACAAAGTTGTGGAGAAGTACAGATCAGGGTTGGGTTATAAAAAAATATCAGAAACTTTGAACATCCCACGGAGCACCATTAAATCCATTATTAAAAAATGGAAAGAATATGGCACCACAACAAACCTGCCAAGAGAGGGCAGGCCACCAAAACTCACGGACCAGAGAGGCAACAAAGAGACCAAAGATAACCCTGAAGGAGCTGCAAAGCTTCACAGCGGAGATTGGAGTATCTGTCCATAGGACCACTTTAAGCTGTACACTCCACAGAGCTGGGCTTTACGGAAGAGTGGCCAGAAGAAAGCCATTGCTTAAAGAAAAAAATAAGCAAACATGTTTGGTGTTCGCCAAAAGGCATGTGGGAGACTCCCCAAACATATGGAAGAAGGTACTCTGTTCAGATGAGACTAAGATTGAGCTTTTTGTCCATCAAGGAAAACGCTATGTCTGGCGCAAACCCAACACCTCTCATCACCCCGAGAAGACCATCCCCACAGTGAAGCATGGTGGTTGCAGCATCATGCTGTGGGGATGTTTTTCATCGGCAGGGACTGGGAAACTGGTCACAATTGAAGGAATGATGGATGGGGCTAAATACAGGGAAATTCTTGAGGGTAACCCATTTCAGTCTTCCAGAGATTTGAGACTGGGATGGAGGTTCCCCTTCCAGCAGGACAATGACCCTAAGCATACTGCTAAAACAACACTCGAGTGGTTTAACGGGAAACATTTAAATGTCTTGGAATGGCCTAGTCAAAGCCCAGACCTCAATACAATTGCGACTCTGTGGTATGACTTAAAGATTGCTGTACACCAGCGAAACCCATCCAACTTGAAGGAGCTGGAGCAGTTTTGCCTTGAAGAATGGGCAAAAATCACAGTGGCTAGATGTGCCTGCTTATAGAGACATACCCCAAGAGACTTGCAGCTGTAATTGCTACAAAAGGTGGCTCTACAAAGTATTGACTTTGGGGGGGGTGAATAGTTATGCATGCACAAGTTTTCTGTTTTTTAGTCTTATTTCCTGTTTGTTTCACAATAAAAAATATTTTGCATCTTCAAAGTGGTAGGCATGTTGTGTAAATCAAATGATACAAACCCCCCCAAAAATACATTTTAATTCCAGGTTGTAAGGCAACAAAATAGGAAAAATGCCAAGGGGGGTGAATACTTTTGCAAGCCACTGTAGATTGTATAACTTCTACTAAACAGATCCAAATCTAGGTCAAATTCTATAGTCATAGAGCCATGTTTTGTCAACCCATTTCTTCATGAGTTGACTTGCTCCGCATATACAGTATGTGTGACTGACAGGCATGGATACAAGATCAACCAAACACTGTCAGTAGAAAGTTCACTGGACTGGTGACTTAAAACCTTTTGAATGGAAAGAAGTGTGAATGAAATCTCGTACCGTAACATGTTTTGTACACAACACATTTAGTTGGTTCAAATAAAATTGGTTTAGTTTGTTTAGTTGATTGGTAGCTAAGTTAATTCATACTTAGTTAATACCTTTATTTCTCTTGATGATGCTCAGCTCTCTGTTTGAGTGACATGATGGAGATCGCTGTGACAGACCATCTGACAGTGATAGACCATCGCCCAGACTGAAGATCTGAAGCTTGTTTTCCATACCCTTTCAAAGTGGAAGGAGTTGGCATCTCTAATCCAAGTTGAAAGAGCTCCCAGCATGGTAAACATTAGTTTAGTGGTGCAAATGGCAGCCAAGGTGCACAAACACACTCGCATAAATACACGCATCCCTTAAACACACACACACTTGAAGTCTGGAGTTGGGCACAGTCACTGACAGTGTGCTTGCTTAGGCAATGTCAGAGCGGCCATGCCCCATATTCAGGAGATATTCTAGGCAGAGAAACCCACATCTGTAAGGGTAGAGGGTCATTTCAATTCGGTGAGTGTGGGGGTGTATGTGGTAGTCAGAGGGTCCAGACTGAAATGCAGCCTGCCACCCAGTGTGTTCAGTAGAGGGAGAGGGGCAGATTCCGCATGGAAAAACTCATAAACCACTGATGTCAACAGCACCATGGGAATAACAGTGGATGCTTGACTAGAATGCCCATGGGCAAGCATGGACACACCGGTCACATGAGTGGACAGGGATGGATGGGTGATTGATTTATTGATTGACAAGTTGTTGAAATGACAAGGGCACTAAGTTAGCCACCAGAGGTTTTGAACTGTTGTGAAACGTGGTAGTGTGGTCTAAATCCTCAAGTATTTCCATAGACTAAAAGATTCTGTAAGAAATCCCTCAATCATGCAGACGGTTGCAAATGCAAAAATAACCTGTTGAGGTAGATTTATTCCATACAGTTGTCTTAGACCATATCTACAGTATTAGGTCATTACAATTACTCTTCCTTCCAGCCTCTGTATCTTTCTATGTTCTCACTTCACTCAGAGAGTGTCATATGAGATGGGCCCAGGCGGCCAGACAGCCAGTCAAGCCAAGTGTCAGTGTCATACAGTATAACTGATGGACACTTCAGGAAACCATCAGTGGGCAAGAATAGACTGGCCATGCCCTATATTCAAGAGATCTGCTAGGCAGAAAAACCCACATCTGTAAGGGTAGAGGACTATCATTTTCTCTCTCTACGTGATACAATTTCAATTCGGTGTGTGTGTATGTGAGTACGTGCGTGAGAGTGTGTTTTCGAGTGTGTGTGTCGTGAGTTTTCTGATTCCTCTCGCATATCATCCACAAAATATGTTTATCTTGGATGATAATTCAACCAAATTATTTGTAGCTAATTGGAGTCAAATTAACATGCCACATTACTACTTATATGTTGTTGTTAAATATTTCCCAACCTGCCTGTGTGTCTCTGTTCCATCCTGCTGTAGGCTTTTGGTGCACCAAAGAGATGGTGTGACTGTTAGTGATTATGAAAGAGAGAGAGTCCTCAATTTACAGCGTATCGTTTGATCTTTTATCAAAGTGGAGGTATTTTTATGTGATTTGATTAAAGGCCGTTTTACGTGGCATGCCAGAGTGCATATCTCTATCTGCAGGTCGGGTCGAGTGAACTTTTGAGGTCTTTGAAACTCCTTAGACTGAGATAATATTAATGGAGCTGTTAAGACCTGTTAGATGGACACAATGTTGCCAGAGGCTAATACACCACAATGCAGAGCAAGAAGGATCTCTTGGCATCATCCAGCACTGTGTCTGGCGCTATCTAGTGCTATTTAGAACCTAAAAGGGTTATTAGGCTGTCCTCTTAGGAGTACCCTGTGAAGAACCCTTTTTGGTTACAGGTAGAACCATTTTGTGTTCCTTGTAGGACCCTTTCCACAGCGGGTTCTACATGGAATCCAAAAGGCTTCTACGTGGAACCAAAAATAGTTCTCCCTGGAACCAAAAAGGGTTCTCCTATGGTTACAGCCTGAAGAACCCTTTTGGAACCTTTTTTTTCTAAGAGTGTAGGTGTCAGTGTGAGTGTCCCTGTTGTTGTGGTTGGGGTGATTGTGAATTATTGTTAGGCACTAAGATTAAAGGGGGAAACACCAGTCATGTTTTAGCCTATCATAGGTTGTGTGAGACCAAACCCCACAAATAGGGGTTTTAAAAGAACTCTTTCATCCGTTTGTGAGGTGGGTTGGAAAGGTGCTATTTATTAGAAGGAGGAAGTGGAGTATAGGCCTAGAGATATTCATTAACTGGACCAACACGGACCCATGGAGATGAATAACCAAAGGAAAAAGGGTTAATTGCAGATGTTTTGCACGCACTGCAGCTGTTCCCTAACCAAAGGTTGCGCAAGGTACAATAAAGTGTTATGGTTATAAAACTTCAGATTTGAGTCACTTCCTGAGTTTTATAAACTCAGTAAGGAGATCAGAAGACTGACCATGCTGTACAATATCGAGCCTCAAAGCAGATCTTCCAATTTCCAGATTCATCTGAATTCTGTCACACACACTACCCTTGTGGATGTTATCAATAGAGTTGTTTATACAGGCCGTCTGCACTCTTTAACGGTTGTTTATAAGAGTTTATGCAATGGCATTGTTGAATACTTTTTTCTGATTGGCTTGAAAGGCATTCTAGAGTGTGCATTATTTCCCTATAATGCACGGTATATTTGCATGGTATAATTCAATGGTTATAGTTCATACTTACATATTCTATGTTTGAGCTACTTTTTAGAGCAAACTTCGAATTTAAAACATTGGCATTGTTGAATTCGATTTTCATAATGGCAAGCCAGGACTGATGGTTTGGATAGCTAAACTAGCAAGTCTGTTTGTTTGGTCACCACGGCAACTACTGTAGCTATCTAGTAAACTTGCTAGCTACTTCAGTGGATGTTGAACACATTTCAAATGTGTTAAATTATAGCCATGGTATAAAAGGGATAATTAACTCGGGGCTCTATGCATTCTCTGGAAAACAATGCAACTCTGTGGAAGGTCAGTTCCACTTCCTTCATTCTTTTCCATGGAACGCATAACCCTTCGTTGAATATCCCTTACATATTGTAGAGTATACAGTATAGGATATATAGAGCACATTCGGAAAGTATTCAGACCCCTTGACTTTTCCCACATTTTGTTACGTTACGTTACTGGTTCTAAAATGGATTAAATTGTTTTTTCAATCTACACATAATACCCCATAATGACAAAGGAAATATTAGGTTTTTAGAAATCTTTGCAAATGTATTACAAAAAACGGAAATATCACATTTACATAAGTATTCAGACCCTTTACTCAGTACTTTCTTGAATCACCGTTGGCAGTGATTACAGCCCCAGTCTTCTTGGGTATGACGCTACAAGCTTGGCACACCTGTATTTGGGGAGTTTCTCCCATTCTTCTCTGCAGATCCGCGCAAGCTCTCTCAGGTTGGATGGGGAGCTATTTTCAGGTCTCTCCAGAGATGTTCCATTGAGTTCAATTCCAGGCTCTGGCTGGGCCACTCAAGGACATTCGGATACTTAACCCAAAGCCACTCCTGCGATGTCTTGGCTGTATGCTTAGGATTGTTGTCCTGTTGGAAGGTGAACCTTCACCCCAGTCTGAGGTCCTGAGCACTCTAGAGAAGGTTTTCATCAAGGATCGCTCTGTACTTTGCTCCGTTCATCTATCCCTCGATCCTGACTAGTCTCCCAGTCCCTGCCGCTGAAAAACATCCCCACAGTTTGATGCTGCCACCACCATGCTTCACCACAGGGATGGTGCCAGGTTTCCTCCAGACATGACGCTTGGTATTCAGGCCAAAGAGTTCAATCTTGGTTTCATCAGACCAGAGAATCTTGTTTCTCAAGGTCTGAGAGTCCTTTAGGTGCCTTTTGTCAAACTCCAAGCGGGGTGTCATGTGCCTTTTACTGAGGAGTGGCTTCCGTCTGGCCACTCTACCATAAAGGCCTGATTGGTGGAGTGCTGCAGAGATGGTTTTCCTTCTGGAAGGTTCTCCCATCTCCACAGAGGAACTCTGGAGCTCTTTCAGGGTGACCATCGGGTTCTTGGTCACCTCCCTGACCAAGGCCCTTCTACCTCTATAGCTCAGTTTGGCCTTGCGGCCAGCTCTACGGAGAGTCTTGGTGGTTCCAAACTTCTTCCATTTAAGAATGATGGAGGCCACTGTGTTCTTGGGGACCTTCAATACTGCAGAATCTTTTTTGGTGCCTCGACACAATCCTGTCTCGGAGCTCTAAGGAGAATTCCTTCGTCCTCATGGCTTGGTTTTTGCTCTGACATGCACTGTCAACTGTGGGACCTTATATAGACAGGTGTGTGCCTTTCCAAATCATGTCCTATCAATTGAATTTACCACAGGTGGACTCCAATCAAGTTGCAGAAACATCTCAAGGATGATCAATGGAAACAGAATGCACCTGAGCTCAATTTTCGATTCTCATAGCAAAGGGTCTGAATAATTATGTAAATAAGGTGTTTTAGCTTTGTCATCATGGGTTATTGTGTGTAGATTGTTGAGGGAAAAAAATAATTGAATCCATTTTTGAATTAGGCTGTAACGTAACAAAATGTGCAAAAAAAGGGGTCTGAATACTTTCCGGTCAAAAGTTTGAACACACCTAGTCATTTAAGGGTTTTTCTTTATTTTTAATATTTTCTACATTGTAGAATAATAGTGAAGACATCAAAACTATGAAATAACACATATGGAATCATGTAGTAACCAAAAAGGGGTAAACAAATCAAAATATATTTTATATTTTAGATTCTTCAAATAGCCACCCTTTGCCTTGATGACAGTTTTGCACACTCTTGGCTTTTTCTCAATTAACAGGTGTGCCTTCTTAAAACGTAATTTGTGGAATTTTTTTCCTTCTTAATGCGTTTGAGCCAATCAGTTGTGTTGTGACAAGGTAGGGGTGGTATACAGAAGATAGCCCTATTTGGTAAAAGACCAAGTCCATATTATGGCAAGAACACCTCAAATAAGCAAAGAGAAACAACAGTCCATCATTACTTTAAGACATGAAGGTCAGTCAATGCGGAACATTTCAAGAACTTTGAACGTTTCTTCAAGTGCAGTCGCAAAAACCATCAAGTGCTATGATGAAACTTGCTCTCATGAGGACCGCCACTGGAATGCAAGACCCAGAGTTACCTCTGTTGCAGAGAATAAGTTCATTGGAGTTACCAGCCTCAGAAATTGCAATCCAAATAAATGCTTCACAGTTCAAGTAACAGACACATCTCAACATCAACTGTTCAAAGGAGACCGTGTGAATCAGGCCTTCATGGTTGAATTGCTGCAAAGAAACCACTACTAAAGGACACCAATAAGAAAAAGACTTTCTTGGGCCAAGAAACACGAGCAATGGACATCAGACCGGTGGTCTGGATTCCAAATTAGAGATTCATGGTTCCAACCGCCGTGTCTTTGTGAGACGCGGTGTGGGTGAATGGATGATCTCTGCATGTGTTTTTCCCACCGTGAAGCATGGAGGAGGTGTGATGGTGTAGGGGTGCTTTGCTGGTGACACTGTCTGTGATTTATTTAGAATTCAAGGCATACTTAACAAGCATGGCTACCACAGCATTCTGCAGCGATACGCCATCCCATCTGGATTGGGCTTAGTGGGACTATCATTTGTTTTTCAACAGGACAATGACCCACCACACCTCCAGGCTGTGTAAGGGCTATTTTACCAAGAAGGAGAGTGATGGAGTGCTGCATCAGATGACCTGGCCTCCACAATCCCCCGACCTCAACACATTTGAGATGGTTTGGGATGAGTCGGACCGCAGAGTGAAGGAAAAGCAGCCAACAAGTGCTCAGCATATGTGGGAACTACTTCTAGACTGTTGGAAAAGCATAATCATTTTCCTCCCAGAAATATTTTAAAGTATGAGATACGCTCTCATTTCAGGGCTTGTATGAGATACCCTCTCATTTCAGGTATAACCCTGAACTAATTTCCCTGTATGTATTTGATAATATGTTAATAGTGTGTTTCTTGAACCTTTTCCAGGCCAGGAGAATCCAGACAGTCTGCGCCACAGATATAACTTCATTGCTGATGTGGTGGAGAAGATCGCTCCCGCTGTGGTTCATATTGAACTGTACCGCAAGTAAGGACCTCCCCTCTACACACACACACACAAACACACACTGACCACAGTAGATTGACAGGTATCTGGGCCATATTCACAAAGTGTCTCCAAGTTGGAATGCTGATCTAGGATTAGGTCCTCCGTATCTTATTAATTATGATTTAAAAGTCTAAACTGATCCTAGATCAGCGCTGCTATACTCTGAGACACTTTGTGAATACGGGTTCAGGTATCTGATGCTGTTTTTCCCAGTAAAAGTTATGACAACAAAGTTACCAATTATTACCCTAAGCAGGTATATAGCGGTGGAGGGAGTGTTGGACAAATACATACCTATATTTAGTGCTGTAGATCTCCCGCCAGATCTCCTGGCTTGCACAGCTGTGTACATAGTTGTCAGCTTGACTTGGGACCTTGTATAAATTGTTTACAAAGGGGATCCTGTTGTAGCCATAAGGACACAAACATTTTCCCCGCCCTCCTGTTGATAAACACATCATCAGGTCATTTGTTCAAGTGATCTTCAAGAAGAAGTGCTGTGAGCAAAATCACGGTATATGTTTGGCAGTAGTGGCATGTGGTCTACTCATGAACATGTGGATTGACAGATTTAGCAGAACATGTACTTTTGCAGATTTTCAGAAGTTCTTCTACTTGTACATGTTTTAGGTGCAAACAGATTAATAATGTTTCCCCGTTTCCCCGTCTCACCCTCTGTCCCCCTGTCTCACCTTGTCTCTCTGTCTCACCCTCTGTCCCCCTGTCTCACCTTCTCCCTCTGTCTCATCCTCTGTCTCCCTGTCTCACCCTCTGTCCCCCTGTCTCACACTCTGTCTCCTGTCTGTCCTCTCCCCAGGATGGTGTTCTCTAAACGTGAGGTGGCAGTGGCCAGCGGCTCTGGCTTCGTGGTGTCGGAGGACGGCTTGATTGTGACCAACGCCCATGTGGTGGCCAATAAGCACCGGGTGAAGGTGGAGCTGAAGAGTGGCGCCACCTTTGACGCCAAGATCACAGACGTGGACGAGAAGGCAGACATCGCCCTCATCAAGATCGACACCCCGGTAAGGCCTGTTACCTCTCTCGATGCCTCTCTTCTCCAGCCATTTCTGAATGCACTGGTGCTTCTTTTATTTTTAATTTTTTACAAGCGCTTCTGTTTACCTCAACCTCCCTTTTCTCTCTCTCTTTAACTCCCTCCTTCCCTATCTAGCTCTTCATCTTGATCTCGCTCGCGTACTTGCCCTCTCCCTCACCATCTCTTTCTCTGAGATGGTGTCAGAGAACAGGAATGCGATGGAGAGATTAAGAGTGGCTATGAATGGAGTAGACAAACACCATCAGTCTTTTTTAGATTGTCTTTCGTCTGCCAACACAGACGGGATTCATTTAACGGTCTTCATAACATTCTTGGAGCAGGCCAGGTTTAATATTAGCATGGTGGGATCGTTGATATAGGGCACCTCAGCAACGAACATGATTCATTGTAAAAATTGTGAAAAACGTTCAAGAGCAGGAGGGTCTTTTTATGATATGATTTAGATGTAATTGACTGTTTTTCGTCTTTGGTCCAGTTTGTTATAAGAACATGTTTTATTTGTCTGCCTCTCCCAGACTATTACCAGAACAGTAAGCACCCTGTTGAGGGTAAAGGCTGTTTTGGTGCCAATGAGGAAAATGTTCCTCTGTGTGTGTGTGTGTGTGTGTGTGTGTATGTGTGTATAGGACGTCATGCTGCTTGCTTAGCGAGTACCACTTCCTCCCGATTCGGCCCATACCTGATGCGAACTCTGGACCTCTGCCTTGCTAGCACACGTTACCGCCCTCCTGAAGCGTATTACCAGTCGGCACCATGCGAAAAGCTAGCTATTTGCTGGTGCAAGTGGGGACAGTTCAGGCTGAGGAGTAAGTTTCCCCATGGATTACACGTGTGTGCGTGTGCATGTGTGAGGGGTGTGTCTGGAGCATGGCAGGCTTCTTTCTGTGCCACCTTGCTGTGAATCCCCTCAGGCCTCTGGCTGACTCCTGAATGCTGCTCAATAGCTTGTAACTTATTATGTGGCAACTGCAAGTTTCAACATCATAAATCCACTTCTGAAAGTTTTTTAATCATTTGTCTTTGATAAAGTCTGAGCATGGACAGTGTGTATTTCTTCTCCCATAATGTCTTCAAGTCTATTTAAAATGTATCTTACAGTATTATTTCTGGATGCCTGCAAGTTCCAGATATCATCTGACCCTTAGAGACCTAAATAGTTGAAAGTCATTAAATGACAATTACACTGTAATAACCCCACCATAAACACAGAAACAACCATTAGGAGAGAGCCCAAGGACTGACTGACCCCTTCCAGACAGAGTGGCCAAACTCCCTGACCCTGTCCTGGAGCACGAGGTGGAAAGAGGTAATGGCGTTGGTGTAATGGCGGTTGCAGGTCTGTGCCTGTGCCCACTTGACCACGGTGGTAGCTAGCAGCGGATCGTCCTTAAAGCGGCGCCAGAGCGACACAGACGCATCCTGCGAGGCATGTATCTGCATGTGCCATGGCTTGCTCGCTGCTCCTCTTTCCATCACGGCAGCGGATGAGTCTGCGCAGGCTTTGGCGGCATCAATAGACAGGCAGTAAAGAGAAATGGTCTCCTGTTGGCAACAAGGACAGGACTATGTTTCTCTGTTTCTCTCCCTGCTTAGTGACTGACAGACTAAATGGCTGAGTGGATCTGGGTAATGGTGGTGCTTATCTCCAGTGTTCTCTTTAGTCTGCATAGCTGTTGAGGCCAACACCTTCTGAACAGAAAGCTGGACCTCTCTCTTGTCTTGACTTGAATAACATTAGATGGTTGATGAAACAGTATGAACTAGGTGTTGCTATTACTGTATTATATGGATTGTCTGAAATACATCCTGTACATGTCTAGGTCTCCATGAACTTTAGAGGAAGCCTGGACATCAGTAGTAAATGACTGATCCTCTGCAGCACAAATGATAGTCCTCGATTGCATAGCCTATTGACAATGATGAACTTTTTCTGGAAATGCAAAAATATTTGCACTGACGCTATCTGCACACTGTATAATTACGGCCCTTGGGACTAGGCTGAGGAAATTCACTAATCTTAATACATGACCACAGTGGGACTGAGGTTGGGTAGGCAGGAGAGTGGAGCTAGAGCTGATAACAGAGGGAATAAATGTCTAGTACATAGACCGTTACGTGATAGATTTGATAGCTGTCGTACTGTTGAAGTTCACCATGGAGGACAGATAGGTACAGTACATAAGGTTACAGGGAACTTTGCCAAAGTTACTCATTCCTGAGGAAAAAAAGAACATCAAACAGCCTATAATAAATACTGGTTGGGGAAATGTGTCCATGTTTAAATGTCACTAAGTGAATTCCTATGGTTGAGTCACTTCCAAATGCTGTGTACAGTTCTGTCAAACTACAGGAGTGCCATGGTTAATCATAGTCCACACAACAAGAGAAGCCTTTGTTTTTCTGGCTATGGCTCTCTGTTGTTGGGGTGGCTGGGTTTTTATGTGGTTCATGTGATCTTCTGTGCTGTGTCATAGGAAGACAGTTTACACAAAAACAGACCTGCGATGTAGTATCTCCCTTGTAATCTAGTACTTAGTCTTATGCAAGACACCTAGACCAATATTATGCCTTCTTACAATCGTAAAAGATTGTACTTTTTGAAAATCCTTCCATTCTTCATGTCTGTGCGGTGTCTTTGTTCAGCAGAAATTCAGTGGAGTCTAGATTTGGTAATCGTCCAACATGGATTCTATGGGCACAAAGGACTATTGATTCTGTTCCCTCAATACCATCAAGCTTGGATGATGGAAAATAACTGCATCCATTAGCGTATATTGTTTACATGCTCATTAATAAAACATCTACATTAACATGTCATTGAAGGGGCCCTCAGCTGACCTTTTCATTTCCCCGGATCTGTACAGTACAGAACATTTCCTGGGGCCATGCTTCCGGCATCCAGGAGGATAAGGTCCCTAACTGTGCTACATAACCACCATCTGGAGGGCATTACCCAGCATACTGAATGAACTGCCTTGAGCTCTCTGTGCAGTAGCAGTACATGGTATACCACTGCTTAAAATCTATCAAAGTACCCTTCTCCAAAGTTTGCTCTTAAGACCTTCTCCTGAAACAGCCTCAAATAAACCAGACTTGTTTTTATGAAGGCCATTGAGTAGTCAGATGTACTGTAAAGAGGAAGGTCCTGGTGCCATGTGGTTTACAGGTGGAGGCTTAATACTGTATGCATTAATGTTAGATAATGGTTATGAAGAGCTTGTTTCCGCTGGTCAGCAAAGAGATGCAGTCCAACTCTGTGGCCAGAGTTAACCCTCTGTTACACTGCTACTGTTGACAATGACAGACTGAATTCTAACTTGAGGTTTGCATGCGTTACGTAACTAGAATTTTCACATCAATCATTCATTGATGTCAATGAGAGATTTTACAGACATCAAGTTAAGATTCGTCAACTTTGTTGAATCTTCTTGACAGAGACAGAGTCGTCTCAACACCCCCACACAGATGGCGGAGGATGGTGAATCAATCAAAACATTTGGATAAAGTAAACAAGTTTTAGGTAAACTAAACAGCTGTTAAACCTCTACCATACAGCTCTCTCTCCATCCAGCAGATGTCTTTTTCGATGTTCCATGACTAATCCAAACCACAGAGCAGGGAAGGGCCCAGCCCATCTCAGCCCATAGGTAGACTCTTCATACCTGTGGTTCTTTCCACCTAGTCAATTTGCGCCAATCAAACAAGAGTACAAAGAGAGAGACATAATTTCTGAGTGGAGACACTGGCATTAACAAAGTTATCACTCAGTTGGAGTGTCTCATCCTTGCATTCTTCCAGGGGTTCTGTTGTCCATCTCGTGTGGAGCCCTAGCATCCATCTCTCTCCATGGTGTGCGATAAGACTTCAAAACTAGGTCAAAGCCTGCACTCTACTTAATAGTACATTTGTAACATATGTGTCATTCAATTGGAGAAAAGTAAACTGGAGTGGAGTCTGTTAGACACAAGAGAGTCACACCCTAGTGGTGTGGAACAGAGATGAAAGACATCCCAATACATGTATCCGCCGGGTGCTGGCATTCCCAGGCTTGTGTTTCTCTCTTGGATCTGAATTAGGTCTTTGGGGCTGTCTTGCACCCTCAGGGACATGAAGATTTCAGGAAAAAGATTCCCTGATTGCAAATCTCTGGGATACGATGTATTTCCAATTCTTAATGGTTGGAAAGAAAGAGACAATTAGTGTAGTACTGTTAAGTCCTCAGTGACATCTGTCTGGAGTGATTTGCTGTATCTCTTAATAACTGGAAAGAAAAAGTGACATGGTAAGTTGTTTGTCTAGAACTGCTAAGTCCATAGCAACAAACAGTAGAGCTCTGAGAAGGAGCATCGTGACCCAGGGCTGGCTAACTGGCCCAGAGTCAGGTCCTGAAAATCCCAGAGTCTGAGTGTTTGAATATGATTTACTGACCTTGTCACCGATCTAGGAACAGCCAGTCACAGGCTTTTCCATCTGCCTGGACTGAAAATGGACATTCTAGTCAAAATCTGGGATTGATTTGCCTTAATTGGAATGGGTTATATAAGTGTGTGAGAGTGTGTGTTTGTCTTTCCCCTTTTCAGCAGTCTCAGAGAGTATTTGTCATCGGTTTAAAGTTGGTGTGCGGAAAGATCACATCAGCAGAAAGCGGGAAATGATGAATCACTTCAGATGTTCATCCTTGGTATGGTCGATGCCAGAAAGGAACCAGTCAAAGAAAACACACTATTAAGTCCAATGGTCCCATTTCTTAAAGTTCCTATTTGGCTTTCCTCAAACAGGGTAACCCCTTAGGAACATGTCCAGGTCAGTCACAGACAGATCCTGTGGACTAATAGAGTTATGACAGACTTCAATCTTATGTATGAGTGTCTCAATGTGAAGAACAGCTCCTGCCTGGGAACAGGAAGGGTTTTTACACTACAGAAAGTTGAAAAGGTGTTTGCGAGACTTAAGAACCACACAAGGAGAGAGAGGGCTGTGGGAACACTGTACACTCAGCTGTGGCCTGAGCAGATAAAGAGATAGTCTCTGCCGGCCCGTATGCAAGCAGAGCCAGAATATTGTGTGTGTGTGCACGTGCGTGCGTATGTGTATGTGTGTGTGTGTGTGTGTGTGTGTGTGCATGTGTGAGGGGTGTGTCTGGAGCATGGCGGGCTTCTTTCTGTGCCACCTTGCTGTGAATCCTCTCAGGCCTCTGACTGACTCCTGAATGCTGCTCAATAGGTTGTCACTTTTTATGTGGTTTGCAACTGCAAGTTTCGACATCATAAATCCACTTCTGAAAGGTTTTTGTTATTTGTCTCTGATAAAGTCTGACAATGGACTGTGTTTGTGTGTGTAACGGACTTAAGAATGTACCGTAAGCTCACTCCACAGCTAGCTTGAAATGTTGCAGAGGGAGCCATCCAATTGGTACCCTTTGAGTGGCTCAAACCGTTGGAACATGGCCAAGGAGGGCAGTCACGTGTATTAGCAAAGCAGAGGTCCCGAGTTCGAACCAGGTATGAACCGCATTGGGGGGAAGTGGTACTCACTAAACAAGCAATCTGACGTCCATAACACGCGCGCGTACGTGTGTATGTGAGTGCGCACGGCTAGAAGTAATTATGAGAAGGGATGTTGTTCATCCCAAATGGAAACACAAGCTGCTTTTCAAATGTAATTTTTTGGATGTTTGCAAACAATTTGACATTAGGCATAATATTTATCATGTAGTTCTGGATTTATAATATGTGTATAACACTCTTTGCTTTTAGTCCTCTAGTCTTTGATTTATAGTATATTGTCTCTTTTATATTTAATTTTAGCATTAATCAGCACTGAGCAAATCAATCTACAGTAACTGTGTTGGTGGTCTGACTGTTCAGTCCCCATTGGCTCAGGTCCAGACACACAGATACAAACACAAACATGTCCAGGCCTGACAGACCAAGCACACACACACACACACACACACACACACACACACACACACACACACACACACACACACTTTGCCAACAGATGCCTCGTCAATCACCCTAGCAGCAACAGACAGCAGCATTGACTAATGGCTCTCTTTCTGCAGACGGCTCCTGTATCCGACACTCCCCCCGTAGCCCCCTGCAGCCCAGTCACTCTGCAGTCGGTAGCCATTGTCCCCTGATCCCCCTGATATTTACCCCCCTGACAGCCTGGTCATTTCCACTGGCACACACAGACCTGTCTCTCACCATTCCACACTGGCACTGTATCAGCTGGCTCAGCAGAAAATGTCATCCCAGTCACTGAGAGCTGACCGAGGTCCCCTATTAACAAGGGAGCTCAAAAATGGAAAGTCAAGGAAACATTAGAAAAAAGGGAAATGTGCATCAGTGATAAGTCTGGGGTCCTGTTACTCGATTCACACTCAAGGACAGACAAATAAGGCTATAGTTTTGCTGCCCTGCATTCCTGCATTCGCTATATAGTGCACTGCTTTTGACCAGAGCCCTATCGGCACTATATAGGGAATAGGGTGTCATTTGAGACGCAACCAAAGACAGACCATGTCAGACCTCTGTGAAGTCTGTGCAGCCTCCCCCTTACCTCCTAGCAAATATTTAATAATTGCAACTCACAACCGCAGCAATTATTTTATTTTCCAAGGTAATTACTTACAGTACATGGAGGGTATTTTACAGGATGTTTGCGAGAGGCATGCCACTGCATGTCTTCACAGTAACAGTTAGACTGGTGTGTGGGTGGATTGAGTTCATTGCGTTGGGTAACTCAGATAGGAGGGGCTTGTTGGGACTGGGGGGGGGGGGGGGGGGACCAGCTGTCTCGAGCGGATGAAGGGGGATGGTGGAGGGGGTGGAAGGGTTGGAGGGGGATGGAAGAGGAGAGACGCGTGTTCTGATAATGCATCTGTGAGTACAACATCACGGATTGCAAAACACTGCCTGTCTGTCTGTCAGTCTGTCTCTCACTGCCTGGAGAAAACAGTGGCACTCAAGCCCTCATCCTCACTAGACTAGAGCAACATGCACCAGATACCTTAAGACTCTGCAGATTGAAGTATACAGTGCACAGTACTGTACTATACATGAGTTGTTTGACTCCAGAGGTAGATATAATCCTGACTTGAGATACTGTATATTTTTAAACTTGCATTCAGATGCCATTACCTTGGGTGTTCTATTGTCCTGATCTATATCTGGCTGAATTTAAAGTGTAATACAGTCATGTTGTTTCTTGTTATCTACCGTATTCGCGGAATCCCTACGCTCATTTGAGGATTTACTAGGAAATGGAATCTAGATCAAGTGATGGCCAGGCCACATCCGCAGTGGATCCCACAGGAAACTCAAATTCCAGCTTTGTGTATGATAATAGCTCACTAAGATGGCCTGTGGTAGATGGTGTATGACTGTGTGTGTACAGTATATTATCTGTGTAACAACAACACAGCCAAAACCGTCCAACTACAAATATACAGTAGTATTATAGTGCTATTATGGTAGTACTATAGTATTATCCCACTGTGTGTATGTAAAAAAGAAATCCTAGACTGTAACCCAGTAAGTGTGACAGTGTGACAGATAGCCTGCTGACTGCTGGGTAGCAGAAAGACACATTGACAGACATGTCACCATGAGCCAAAAGCCATTCCTCCCAGTCCCATTCTATCCACTTGACCCCCTTCCTGGAATGTGTTCATTTATCCGACTTCCAGCCCATCTGGGAGAGTGCTTAGGGCTGTCGGCCAGGGAGCGGCCTGCTATTCCTGTGTCAGGTCTGGATGTCAGGTCTGGATTCCTGGAGCACTGAGCCCAGGGTGGGGGGCAATGGTTCCTCTCCTCATATACTGTGACTGTATCCTCATCGCAATGTTCCCTGACCCCCCTGCCCTGTCCTGTCCTGTCCTATTAATATCAAGGTCTGGTGTAACCTAGCCACAACCTAGCCACAACCTACCATAGATCCAACCGTATAACTCTAATCCATTCTCCTGTTATTGTTGATGGATTTTGTCTATTGTAGATTGTGTCATTGAGATGGATGAAGTGGTAATTCATTGCCTTGATATGTTTTCAGAATCAAATCAAATCAAATTTTTATTGTCACATACACGTGTTTAGCAGATGTTATTGCGGGTGTAGCGAAATGCTTGTGCTTCTAGCTCCGACAGTGCAGTAATATCTAACAAGTAATATCAAACAATTTCACAACATATACCCAATACACACAAATCTAAGTAAGTAATAGAATTTAAGAATATATACATATACGGACAAGAAATGACAGAGCGGCATGGACTAAGATACAGTAGAATATTATAGAATAGAATACAGTATATACATATGAGATGAGTAGTGCAAGATATGTAAACATTATTAAAGTGACTAGAGTTCAATTTCTTAAAGAGGCCAGTGATTTCAATAGGCAGCAGCAGCCTCTAATGTGCTAGTGATGGCTATTTAACAGTCTGATGGCCTTGAGATAGAAGCTGTTTTTCATTCTCTCGGTCCCAGCTTAGATGAACATGTTCTGACCTCGCCTTCTGGATGATAGCAGGGTGAACAGACAGTGGCTCAGGTGGTTGATGTCCTTGATGATCTTTTTGGCCTTCCTGTGACATCGGGTGCTGTATGTGTCTTGGAGAGCGGGTAGTTTGCTCCCGGTAACCTTCTCCACTGCCTGCGGTCCCGTCGATTTGGATAGGGGGGTACACCCGCTGCTGTTTCCTGAAGTCCACAATCATCTCCTTTGTTTTGTTGACATTGAGTGAGAGGTTATTTTCCTGGCACCACACTCCCAGAGCCCTCACCTCCTCCCTGTAGGCGGTCTCGTCATTGTTGGTAATCAAGCCTACTACTGTTGTGTCGTCTGCAAACTTGATGATTGAGTTGGAGGCATGCTTGGCCACGCAGTCATGGGTGAACAGGGAGTACAGGAGGAGGCTGAGCACGCACCCTTGTGGCGCCCCAGTGTTGAGGATCAGCGAAGTGGAGATGTTGTTTCCTACCTTCACCACCTGGGGGCGGCCCGTCAGGAAGTCCAGGACCCAGTTGCACAGGGCGGGGTTCAGACCCAGGGCCTCGAGCTTAATGATGAGCTTGGAGGGTACTATGGTGTTGAATGCTGAGCTGTAGTCAATGAACAGCATTCTTACATAGGTATTCCTCTTGTCCAGATGGGATAGGGTAGTGTGCAGTGTGATGGCGATTGCATCGTCTGTGGATCTATTGGGGCGTTAAGCAAATTGAAGTGGGTCTAGGGTGACAGGTAAGGTAGAGGTGCTATGATCCTTGACTAGGGGCGGCAGGTAGCTTAGTGGTTAAGAGCGTTGTGGCAGTAACCGAAAGGTCGCTGGTTCTAATCCCTGAGCCGACTAGATGAAAAATATGTCGATGTGCCCTTGAGCAAGGCACTTAACCCTAATTGCTCCTGTAAGTCGCTCTGGATAAGAGCGTCTGCTAAATGACTAAAATGTAAATCTAGTCACTCAAAGCACTTCATGATGACAGAGGTGAGTGCTACGGGGTGATAGTCGTTCAGTTACCTTTGCTTTCTTGGGTACAGGAACAATGGTGGCCATCTTGAAGCATGGGGGCAGAACAGCAGACTGGGAAAGGGAGAGATTGAATATGTCCGTAAACACACCAGCCAGTTGGTCTGCGCATGCTCTGAGGACGCGGCCAGAAAGCATGCAGAGTATGCAGACATCATGGCACATTGTAACTTCAGGCATCACAACTTCCTTTCGATAGATTTTTGTGAAAATGTATGTTGACCCCCATATGTATTTCAACTGGCGCTGGGCTATTTCTGTCGTACATAAACAAACAGAATGTAACAAAGGCCCTTCAGGCATGTCTCGAAAGAGGGGTTGTCTTGTTACTGTAGATACCGTATGAATTGTATCTGCATGCCAACTGTTTCTGTTCAGAATGCAAAGTACATTTCTACCAGCAATATGTTTATTTGTCCCCTTTTTTGTAATGATCCCAGGATAAATCTATGTGAACATCTTGACTGATCTGAGTCCTGTGTCCCTTTGTTTAGATGAAGCTGCCGGTGCTGCTGCTGGGGCGTTCAGCTGACCTGAGGCCTGGTGAGTTTGTTGTGGCCATCGGCAGTCCCTTCTCCCTGCAGAACACGGTCACCACAGGTATCGTCAGCACCACCCAAAGAGGAGGCAAGGAGCTAGGCCTGAGGAACTCTGATATGGAATACATCCAGACGGACGCTATCATCAACGTGAGTGACACATACACGTCATCAGACACACACACACACAGCTGTGATCTATATCAGCACAAGGCATTTAGTTGTGGGACACAACAGTAGCTCCTCCTTATTTTCCCCATTACATGTGTACACAGGAAGATGTAGATCTACCATCTGATCATCCCTTTAACCTGAATGCTGTTCCTTTTCAGTATGGGAACTCTGGCGGACCCCTGGTCAATCTGGTAAGATATCATTTGCTATTGATAAGGATTACATCTCTTAGAATGTGTTTAATGTAAATCTATGAGACATTTGTAGAAGGTATTTTAATAAAGACGTCTCCGAAGTTGGATAGATAAGGCTATATGAATTCACATGTAAAGCTTGGCAAGCAGTTACACGTTACAGCTTGTAGTGATAACACCATTGTTTTTATTCACATACAGTTGAAGTCGGAGGTTTACAGACACCTTAGCCAAATACATTTAAACTCAGTTTTTCACAATTCCTGACATTTAATCCTAGTAAAAATTCCCTGTTTTAGGTCAGTTAGGATCACCACTTTATTTTAAGAATGTGAAATGTCAGAATAATAGTAGAGATAATGATTTATTTAAGCTTTTATTTATTTCATCATATTCCCAGTGGGTCAGAAGTTTACATACACTAAATTAGTATTTGGTAGCATTGCCTTTAAATTGTTTAACTTGGGTCAAACGTTTCGGGTAGCCTTCCACAAGCTTCCCACAATAAGTTGGGTGAATTTTGGCCCATTCCTCCTGACAGAGCTGGTGTAATGAGTCAGGTTTGTAGGCCTCCTTGCTCGCACACACTTTTTCAGTTCTGCCCACAAATGTTCGATAGGATTGAGGTCAGGGCTTTGTGATGGCCACTCCAATACCTTGACTTTGTTGTCCTTAAGCCATTATGCCTCAACTTTGGAAGTATGCTTGGGGTCATTGTCCATTTGGAAGACCCATTTGCGACCAAGCTTTAACTTCCTGACTGATGTCTTGAGATGTTGCTTCAATATATCCACATCATTTTCCTTCCTCATGATGCCATCTATTTTGTGAAGTGCATCAGTCCCTCCTGCAGCAAAGCACCCCCACAGCATGATGCTGCCACCCCCGTGCTTCACGGTTGGGATGGTGTTCTTCGGCTTGCAAGCGACCCCCTTTTTCCTCCAAACATAACGATGGTCATTATGGCCAAATATTTATCAGACCAGAGCACATTTCTCCAAAAAGTATGATCTTTGTCCCCATGTGCAGTTGCAAACCGTAGTCTGGCTTTTTTATGGCAGTTTTGGAGCAGTGGCTTCTTCCTTGCTGAGCGGCCTTTCAAGTTATGTCGATATAGGACTCGTTTTACTGTGGATATAGATGCTTTTGTACCTGTTTCTTCCAGCATCTTCACAAGGTCCTTTGCTGTTGTTCTGGAATTGATTTGCACTTTTCGCACCAAAGTACGTTAATCTCTAGGAGACAGAACGCGTCTCCTTCCTGAGCAGTATGACGGCTGCATGGTCCCATGGTGTTTATACTTGCGTACTATTGTTTGTACAGATGAACATGGTACCTTCAGACATTTGGAAATTGCTCCCAAGGATGAACCAGACTTGTGGAGGTCTACACATTTCTTCTGAGGTCTTGGCTGATTTCTTTTGATTTCCCCATGATGTCAAGCAAAGAGGCACTGAGTTTGAAGGTAGACCTTGAAATACATCCACAGGTACACCACCAATTGGCTCAAATGATGTCAATTAGCCTATCAGAAGCTTCTAAAGCCATGACATCATTTTCTGGAATTTTCCAAGCTGTTTAAAGACACAGTCAACTTAGTGTATGTAAACTTCTGACCCACTGGAATTGTGATGCAGTGAATTATAAGTGAAATAATCTGTCTGTAAACAATTGTTGGAAAAATGACTTGTGTCATGCACAAAGTAGATGTCCTAACCGACTTGCCAAAACTTAGTTTGTTAACAAGAAATTTGTGGAGTGGTTGAAAAATGAGTTTTAATGACTCCAACCTAAGTGTATGTAAACTTCCGACTTCAACTGTGAGTAAAGACCTATGTTTCCTCAAAAGCAGCATTTAGTAGGTTTTATTTCAAAACGTGGGATTTAATACATATCAGTGTAGCTGAATGAGCTGTTATAGTGAGAGTGAGACCAGATGGGAGTGTGTTTGTTCAACGGGGTGTGTGTGTGTTGTTTCTGTCTTCAGGACGGAGAGGTGATTGGGATCAACACACTGAAGGTGACTGCAGGAATCTCCTTCGCCATCCCCTCAGACAAGATCCGTCAGTTCTTGGCAGAGTCCCACGACAGACAATCTAAAGGTACAGATTACCAATCTAAAGGTAGGGCTGTGACAATTATGGAATTTTGGGGATCAATTAATTGTCATTTAAATTACCAAGTTTATTGTCATAATTGTCTTCTTTTGTAAGAAAAATGTTTGCGCTTGTAATGCGTCATACATTAATGCATCTTTGAAAAGGACCTACGACATACCTAATGAATATAACTCAGCTTTGGTGACACCCCCGTTTAAAAAAACGAATGGTTTATACTGCTATTGGTTTAATTCCATCTACTTGAAAATAAAGTTGAAACCCCCCACTCCTAGAATGCATGTATTAAGACCATTATGACAATTTATTTTTACGTTTACGGTTATTGTCCATAATTGTCAGTTAGACGACTATACAAATATTGTGCTAGACCTATCTAAAGGTTCACATCCATGGCTTTGATCAGGTATTGCATATTAAATGTTCAATGTTTATCATCTTGATCATGCTAATGCAGTATTTATCCTCTTTTCTTTAGGTAAATTATTACCAAAGAAGAAGTATATCGGTGTGAGGATGATGACTCTCACTCCAACGTAAGTTTCAGCCAGCCAGGTTCATCTTGTGAATTAAATTCTTCCAAATACCTGTGGCACATTAAACACTTATCTCTCTATTTTCATTGTTCCCTTTCCCATAGGCTTGCAAAGGAGCTGAAGGAGAGACAATCAGACTTCCCTGATGTTACCTCAGGGGCATATGTCATCGAGGTCATCCCAAAAACACCAGCTGAGACGTAAGTAGTAGTTTACTGAAAATAGAACCAGAAGTCTGTGGACCGACTCAAATCAGTACAAACATGAGCCAACAGTTAAAGTCCTTGACCTTGGATTAGGATGGCAGCATTTGAAGACTCCTTTGGTAGTTGGCTAAAGGCTTCCGCATGCTTCGGTTCGGCTGGTGCTGTTTGTTTATCTTGAGACGCCGTAGTCAGAATGAAGATAACTAGGTAACTCAAGAAATCTGTCATTCATTTTAAATGTTTTACAGAGTAGATCTTAGTCGTGCAATTTTACATCTAAGATTTTTAGTGCAGTATTTCTCAAGTGAAACAATTTGCATGAAAATGAGTCGTCTATCATTGAATGACAAAAAACACTTCATTGAAAAATTTCTGTTGACCAATGACCAACGAAGGGGCGCAGGCATCAGCTCCCTAACTTCGTCTTGAGAAAAAAAAAATGTGTGCACGAACAGCCGAACAAACCCTTGCAGAAGACCAAACGAAACATAACAAAATGTTGTCATACTATACAGTACCAGTCAAAGGTTTGGACACACCTACTCATTCAAGGGTTTTTCTTTATTTGTACTATTTTCTACATTGTAGAATAATAGTGAAGACATCAAAACTATGAAATAACACATATGGAATCATGTAGTAACTAAAAAAGTGTTAAACAAATCAAAATATATTTTATATTTGAGATTCTTCAAAGTAGCCACCCTTTGCCTTGATGACAGCTTTGCACACTCTTGGCATTCTCTCAACTAGCTTCATGAGGAATGCTTTTCCAACAGTCTAGAAGGAGTCCCCACATATGCTGAGCACTTGTTGGCTGTTTTTCCTTCACTCTGCGGTCCAACTCATCACAAACCATCTCAATTGGGTTGAGGTCGGGTGATTGTGGAGGCCAGGTCATCTGATGCAGCACTCCATCGCTCTCCTTCTTGGTCAAATAGCCCTTACACAGCCTGGAGGTGTGTTTTGGGTCATTGTCCTGTTGAAAAACAAATGATAGTCCCACTAAGCACAAACCAGATGGGATGGAGTATCGCTGCAGAATACTGTGGTAGCCATGCTGGTTATGTGTGCCTTGAATTCTAAATAAATCACAGACGGTGTCACCAGTAAAGCAACCCCACACCATCACACCTCCTCCTCCATGCTTCACAGTGGGAACCACACATGCAGAGATCATCATTTCACCTACTCTGCATCTCACAAAGACACAGTGGTTGGAACATGAAATCTCACATTTGGACTCATCAGACCAAAGGACAGATTTCCACTGGTCTAATGTCCATTGCTTGTGTTTCTTGGCCCAAGCAAGTCTCTTCTTATTATTGGTGTCCTTTAGTAGTGGTTTCTTTGCAGCAATTCGACCATGAACAGTTAACAAACAGATCACCGACCATTTCGAATCACACCGTACCTTCTCTGCTATGCAATCCGGTTTCCAAGCTGGTCATGGGTGCACCTCAGCCACGCTCAAGGTCCTAAACGATATTATAACCACGATCGATAATAGACAGTACTGTGCAGCCATCTTCATCGACCTGGCCAAGGCTTTCGACTCTGTCAACCACCGCATTCTTATTGGCAGACTAAATAGCCTTGGTTTCTCAAATGACTGCCTCGCCTGGTTCACCAACTACTTCTCAGATAGAGTTCAATGTGTCAAATCGGAGGGCCTGTTGTCTGGACGTATGGCAGTCTCTATGGGGGTGCCACAGGGTTCAATTCTTGGGCCGACTCTTTTCTCTGTGTATATCAATGATGTCGCTCTTGCTGCTGGTGATTCTCAGATCCACCTCTACGCAGACGACACCATTTTGTATACATCTGGCCCTTCATTGGACACTGTGTTAACAAACCTCCAAACGAGCTTCAATGCCATACAACACTCCTTCCGTAGCCTCCAACTGCTCTTAAACACAAGTAAAACTAAATGCATGCTCTTCAATCGAACGCTGCTGGCACCCGCCCACCCAACTAGAATCACTACTCTCGACGGGTCTGACCTAGAGTATGTGGACAACTACAAATACCTAGGTGTCTGGTTAGTCTGTAAACTCTCCTTCCAGACTCACATTAAGCATCTCCAATCCAAAGTTAAATCCAGAATCGGCTTCCTATTTCGCAACAAATCCATTTTGTCACCAAAGCCCCATATACTACCCACCACTGTGACCTGTACGCTCTTGTTGGCTGGTCCGCACTACATATTCGTCGCCAAACCCACTGGCTCAAGGCCATCTATAAATCACTGCTAGGCAAATCCCCGCCTTATCTTAGCTCATTGGTCACCATAGCAACACCCACCCGTATTATGCGCTCCAGCAGGTATATCTCACTGGTCATCCAACAACTCCTTTGGCCGCCATTCCTTCCAATTCTCTGCTGCCAATGACTGGAACGAACTGCAAAAATCTCTGAAGCTGGAGACTCTTATCTCCCACACTAACATTAAGCATCAGTTGTCAGAGCACCTTATCGATCACTGCACCTGTACACAGCCCATCTGAAATTAGCCCACCCAACTGCCTCATCCCCATATTGTTATTTATTTTGCTCATTTGCACCCCAGTATTTCTATTTGCACATCATCTCTTGCACATCTATCATTCCAGTGTTAATACTAATTGTAATTATTTTGCACTATGGCCTATTTATTGCCTTACCTCCATAACTTGCTACATTTGCACACACTGTATATATATTTTATATTTTCTGTTGTATTTTTGACTTTATGTTTTGTTTTACCCCATATGCAACTCTGTGTTGTTGTTTTTATCGCACTGCTTTGCTTTATCTTGGCCAGGTCGCAGTTGTAAATGAGAACTTGTTCTCAACTGGCTTACCTGGTTAAATAAAGGTGAAAAAAAAAATGAAGGGCTGATTCATGCAGTCTCCTCTGAACAGTTGATGTTGAGATGTGTCTGTTACTTGAACTCTGTGAAGCATTTATTTGTTTCTGAGGCTGGTAACTCTAATTAACTAATTAACTTATCCTCTGCAGCAGAGGTAACTATGGGTCTTGCTTTCCTGTGGCGGTCCTCATGAGAGCCAGTTTCATTGTAGCGCTTTTTGCGACTGCACTTGAAGAAACTTTCAAAGTTCTTGAAATTCTCGGTATTGACTGACCTTCATGTCTTAAAGTACTGATGGACTGTCGTTTCTCTTTGATTATTTGAGCTGTTTTTGCCATAAAATGGGCTTGGTTTTTTACCAAATAGGGCTATCTTCTGTATACCACCCCTACCTTGTCACAACACAACTGATTGGCTCAAACGCATTAAGAAGGAAAGAAATTCCACAAATTAACTTTCAACAAGGCACACCTGTTAATTGGAATGCATTCCAGGTGACTATCTCATGAAGCTGGTTGAGAGAATGCCAAGAGTGTGCAAAGCTGTCATCAAGGCAAAGGGTGGCTACTTTGAAGAATCTGAAATATAAAATATATTTTGATTTGTTTAACACTCTTTTGGTTACTACATGATTCCCTATGTATTATTTCATAGTTTTGATGTCTTCACTATTATTCTACAATGAGTAGGTGTGTCCAAACTTTTGACTGGTACTGTATGCACGAACTGTTCATAACTGTTTCGGATGGAAAGCATGCAAATGCCTTTAGTCTCTATTAGTCTCATAACGGTTGCTAGGAGTTCATTGTCCTCTGGTCTTAAAAATAGACTAGCCTCATAGCACAATGAATTAGCATTTCATGACCACATAAATAGCATGACAGGGCAGTCTATCTAGGTTACTCACTCCTACAGAATGCACTGTCTTTGTATATTTTTTGTGGCCACATAAAATAATTTGTGCTGAGGCAGCAGTCTCCCACTGAAGGAAATTAATAGCTTTATTTTTGTCTGGTGGGTATATGTGGTTACAAGGGCAGCATAATGCGCTTAGATTTTTCAGAGACTATGGTCAGATGTTGTTTCTCACAGTGTCTAAAAAGAATGTTACTGCCTCTGTAAGTTCATTTAGCTTTTTTTGGAATGGGAAAAACTCCCTCCTCGCAGACGTAAGAGGGTCTATTCTGTGGATTGAGACCTAATGGTATACATTGCTTAGAGAGTCTTACGTACTGTACTTTATATCAGTAAAGTACATGTCTTTGTTACTACATGCCCCTAACTCCTCTCTCCTCTCCACAGAGGTGGCCTGCAGGAGAGTGACGTCATAATCACCATCAACAGCCAGCGAATCACCTCGGCAAGTGACGTCAGCAGCTCCATCAAGAGGGACGACACGCTGCGGATGGTGGTCCGGCGGGGGAATGAGGACATCATGCTCACCGTCGTCCCCGAGGACATTGACCCTTGACCTCTCAGCAACCACGAGCTGGTTCTCAGTGTTTAAAACCACAGACCTAAACTGTGTGTGTGTCTGGAGCCACACCCTACCATAGAACCTGTAACTACTAGTGCCCCCCCCCCCCCCACCCCACTTCAAACTACCGGGGGCTGTGAGGCCCACACCTAACCCTCTGGGAACTCAAATGCGTCCAGGGCAATACCGACATATTTTAGCACCCTGCTACTCTTTTGTATTGAAATGTTTTCCTTATGTATGAGTCAAAAAGACACTTCTGCTCTCAGTGAAACTGATTATTGCCATCACGTTTGTTTTATACTCTACTAACGTCCTTGCACAGAGAACCCACCTCCATCAGATACAAGAGTGGGTGTCACAGATACCGTAGTTCTGTTTTGTTGTTGTTTTTGTTGCTGTTGATATTGTTTATATGTTTTTTTAATTGTATTTTAATTGTATTTCTCTTTATATGTTTTGTTGACAATTTCACAGAGGGAATAAAAATATTTAAAAAAATAAGTGGTGTTCCTTACTGATCTGAAAATCCAAACTCTGACTACATGAATGTTGACAGTTGAACTATACACATCTAGTAAAGTCACACAATAACCCAGTGTACACATCCAGCTTGGCTGCTCTACACACAATCTTGCTACTCTACACACAGTCTGGCTGCTCTACACACAGTCTGGCTGCTCTACACACAGTCTGGCTGCTCTACACACAGTCTGGCTGCTCTACACACAGTCTGGCTGTTCTACACACAGTCTGGCTGTTCTACACACAGTATGGCTGTTCTACACACAGTCTGGCTGCTCTACACACATGGCCAGTGCCTGGTTTGGTTTGGGTCATGTCCTGTGAGTTTAATGAGAGTTCTGATGAGTCCCTTTGTATGGTTTGGGAGCTGGACCGCCTGTTTGCCATGGCTCAGCCAATAGGGGAGAAAAATACTGCTAAGGGCCAACCCTAGGGGATTGAATGTACGGACAGGGATTTCTAGACACAGGTCAGACATTACTAATCAATGATAATCAACTCCAGCTTCCACTCTTACAGTACCATGAGCCTTGCCTTGACAGTCTTGCCTGAATGAGAAATATAATGGAAATACATTTTAGACTCCTTGATGTGTGTACTGCCATTGCATTGTTCTTGTCGCTTTAGTTTCAAGTTTATTCGCCACATGCACAGAATACAACAGGTGTAAAACAGTACAGTGAAATTCTTACTTCAAATCAAATGAGCTCTTTGCACTGACAATGCACTGATAATAATAATAAGATAGATAATAATAGAAAACAGAATAAAAAAACACAAGAAGTACGATACAGTGCCTTTCAAAAGTATTCATCCCCCTTGGCGTTTTTCTTATTTTGTTTCATTACAACCTGTAATTTAAATGGATTTTTATTTGGATTTCATGTAATGGACATACACAAAACAGTCCAAATTGGTGAAGTGAAATGAAAAAAATAACTTGTTTCAAAAAATTCTAACAAATAAATAACGGAAAAGTGGTGCGTGCATATGTATTTACCCCCTTTGCTATGAAGCCCCTAAATAAGATCTGGGGCAACCAATTACCTTCAGAAGTCACATAATTAGTTAAATACAGTCCACCTGTGTGCAATCTAAGTGTCACATGATCTGTCACATGATCTCAGTATATATACACCTGTTCTGCAACACCACTAAGCAAGGGGCACCACCAAGCAAGTGGCACCATGAAGACCAAGGAGCTCTCCAAACAGGTCAGGGACAAAGTTGTGGAGAAGTACCATTAAATCATTATTTAAAAAATGGAAAGAATATGGCACCACAACAAACCTGCCAAGAGAGGGCCTCCCACCAAAACTCACGGACCAGGCAAAGAGGGCATTAATCAGAGAGGCAACAGAGACCAAAGATAACCCTGAAGGAGCTGCAAAGCTCCACAGCGGAGATTGGAGTATCTGTCCATAGGACCACTTTAAGCCGTACACTCCACAGAGCTCGGCTTTACGGAAGAATGGACAGAAAAAAGACATTGCTTAAAGAAAAAAATAAGCAAACATGTTTGGTGTTCGCCAAAAGGCATGTGGGAGACTCCCCAAACATATGGAAGAAGGTACTCTGGTCAGATGAGACTAAGATTGAGCTTTTTGTCCATCAAGGAAAACGCTATGTCTTGCGCAAACCCAACACCTCTCATCACCTCTCATCACCCTGAGAACACCATCCCCAGAGTGAAGCATGGTGGTGGCAGCATCATGCTGTGGGGATGTTTTTCATCGGCAGGGACTGGGAAACTGGTCAGAATTGAAGGAATGATGGATGGCGCTAAATACAGGGAAATTCTTGAGGGAAACCTGTTTCAGTCTTCCAGAGATTTGAGAGTGGGAGGGAGGTTCACCTACCAGCAGGACTATGACCCTAAGCATACTGCTAAAGCAACTCTTGAGTGATTTAAGGTGAAACATTTAAATGTCTTGGAATGGCCTAGTCAAAGCCCAGACCTCAATCCAATTGAGACTCTGTGGTATGACTTAATGATTGCTGTACACCAGTGGAACCCATCCAACTTGAAGGAGCTGGAGCAGTTTTGCCTTGAAGAATGGGCAAAAATCACAGTGGCTAGATGTGCCAAGCTTATAGAGCCAAACCCCAAGAGACTTGCAGCTGTAATTGCTGCAAAAGGTGGCTCTACAAAGTATTGACTTTGGGGGGGGTGAATAGTTACGCACGCTTATTTATTGTTTGTTTCACAAAAACATTCATTTTGCATCTTCAAAGTGGTAGGCATGTTGTGTAAATCAAATGATACAAACCCCACAAAAAATCAATTTTATTTCCAGGTTGTAAGGCAAAAAATAGGAAAAATGCCAAGGGGGGTGAATACTTTTGCAAGCCACTGTATATAGTGTATTCAGAAAGTATTCAGACCACTTCACCTGTTCCTAATTCTGTTACGTTACAGCCTAATTCTAAAATGGATTTTTTTTATTACCCTCATCAATCTACACACAATACCCCATAATGAAAAAGCAAAAACAGTTTTTTATGAATTTTTGCAAATGTATTAAAAATAAAAAACTGAAATATGACATTTACATAATTATTCAGACCCTTTACTCAGTACTTTGTTGAAGCAGCTTTGGCAGCGATTACAGCCTTGAGTCTTCTTGGGTATGACGCTACAAGCTTTGCACACCTGTATTTGGGGAGTTTTTCCCATTCTTCTCTGCACAGCTATTTTCATGTCTCTCAAGAGATGTTCGATCGGGTTCAAGTCTGGGCTCTGGCTGGGCCACTCAAGGACATTCAGAGACTTGTCCCGAAACCACTCCTGCATTGTCTTGGCTGTGTGCTTAGGATCGTTGTCCTGTTGGAAGGTGAACCTTCGCCCCAGTCTGAGGTACGCTCTGGAGCAGGTTTTCATCAAGGATCTCTCTGTACTTTGCTCCGTTGATCATTCACTCAATCCTGACTAGTCTCTCAGTCCCTGCCACTGAAAAACATCACCACAGCATGATGCTGCCACCACCATGCTTCACCGCAGGTTTCCTCCATACGTGATGCTTGGCATTCAGGTCAAAGCATTCAATCTTGGTTTCATCAGACCAGAGAATCTTGAGTTCTTAAGGTGCCTTTTGGCAAACTCCAAGTGAGCTGGCATGTGCATTTTACTGAGGAGTGGCTTCCGTCTGGCCACTCTGCCATAAAGGCCTGATTGGTGGAGTGCTGCAGATATGGTTGTCCTTCTGGAAGGTTCTCCCATCTCCACAAAGGAACCCTGGAGCTCTGTCATAGTGAGAATCGGGTTCATGGTCACCTCCCTGACCAAGGCCCTTCTCCCCTCGATTGCTCAGTTTGGTCGGCGGCCAGTTCTAGGAAGAGTCTTGGTGGTTCCAAACTTCTTCCATTTAAGAATGATGGAGGCCACTGTGTTCTTGGGGCCCTTCAATGCTGCAAAACATTTTTGGTACCCTTCCCCAGATCTGTGCCTCGACACAATCCTGTCTTGGAACTCTACAGACAATTCCCTTGACCCCATGGCTTGGTTTTTGCTCTGACATGCACTGTCAACTGTGGGACCTACAACCAGTGTGTCGTCAGCAAACTTGATAATGGCGTTGGAGTCGTGCGTGGCCACACATTCGTGGGTAAACAGGGAGTAAAGGAGGGGGCTAAGCACACACCCCTGGAGGGCCCTGTGTTGAGGATCAGCATGGCAGAGGTGTTGTTGCCTACCCTCACCACCTGGGGTTTGCCCGTCAAGAAGTCCAGGATCCAGTGGCAGAGGGAGGTGTTCAGTCCCAGGGGCCCCGAGCTTGGTGACGAGCTTGGAGGGCACTATGGTGTTGAATACTGAGCTGTAGTCGCTGAACAGCATTATCACATACACTACCATTCAAAAGTTTGGGGTCACTTAAAAATGTCCTTGTTTTCGAAAGAAAAGCAATTTTTCTGTCGATTAAAATAATATAAAATTGAACAAAAATACAGTGTAGACATTGTTAATGTTGTAAATGGCTATTGTAGCTGGAAATGGCTGATTTTTAATGGAATATCTACGTAGGCGTACAGAGGCCACTGGCAGCTTCATTAAATAGTACCCACAAAACACCAGTCTCAACGTCAACAGTGAAGAGGTGACTCTGGGATGCTGACCTTCTAGGCAGAGTTGCAAAGAAAAAGCCATATCTCAGACTGCCCATCTTAATCTTTTCTTTTTATTGGCCAGTCTGAGATATGGCTTTTTCTTTGCAACTCTGTCTAGAAGGTCAGCATCCCGGAGTCGCCTCTTCACTGTTGACATTGAGACTGGTGTTTTGCGGGTGCTATTTAATGAAGCTGCCAGTTGAGGACCGGTGAGGTGTCTGTTTCTCAAACTAGACACTCTAATGTATTTGTCCTCTTGCTTAGTTGTGCACCGGGGCCTCCCACTTCTCTTTCTATTCTGGTTAGAGCCAGTTTGCGCTGCTCTGTGAAGGGAGTAGTACACAGCGTTGTACAAGATCTTCGGTTTCTTGGCAATTTCTCACATGGAATAGCCTTAATTTCTCAGAACAAGAATAGACTAATAAGTTTCAGAAGAAAGTTATTTGTTTCTGGCCATTTTGAGCCTGTAATTGAACCCACAATTGCTGATGCTGCAGATACTCAACTAGTCTCAACAAGGCCAGTTTTATTGCCTCTTTAATCAGCACAACAGTTTTCAGCTGTGCTAACATAATTGCAAAAGGGTTTTCTAATGATCAATTATCCTTTTAAAATGATAAACTTGGATTAGCAAACACAACGTGCCATTGGAACAAAGGACTGATGGTTGCTGATAATGGGCCTCTGTACGCCTATTTAGATATTCCATAAAAAATCAGCCGTTTCCAGCTACAATAGCCATTTACAACATTAACAATGTCTACACTGTATTTCTGATCAATTTGATGTTATTTTAATGTACAAAAAAAGTGATTTTATTCTCGAAAACAAGGACATTTCTATGTGACCCCAAACTTTTGAACGGTAGTGTAGGTATTCCTCTTGTCCAGGTGGGGGAGGGCAGTGTGAAATGAAATTGAGATTGCATTGTCTTTAGATCTGTTGGGGCGGTATGCAAATGAGGGTGTGTCCAGGGTGTCTGGGATGATGAAGTTCATGTGTGCCATGACCGACCTTGCCAAAGCACTTCATCATTACAGATGCGAGTGCTACAGGGCAGTAGTCATTGTGGCAGGTAGTCTAAGAGTTCTTGGGAACAGGAGTGATGGTGGTCAGCATGAGACGTGGGGATTACAGACTGGGACAAGGAGAGGTTGAAAATGACAGTGAAGATGCCTGCCAGTTGGTCTGCGCATGCTCTGAGAACACGCCTTGGAATAATGTCCAGCCCCACGGCCTTGCGAGTGTTGACCAGATTAAAAGTCTTATTCACGTCGCCTCGGAGAGCGAGATCACCCAGTCCTCTGGGACGGTGGGGGCTCTCATGCACGGCTCTGTGTTGTTTTTGTCAAATTATGCATAGATGTAATCAATCAATCATGGCCACATTGGCTTTCTTAACCAAATAAGTCACAGTTTCATCATGTGCCTGCTCCATAAAAACCTGGTTTAACTCCTTTTACATTATCATTGCCATGTGTACATGATATGGGAAAAGAGAGCTTTATGAATCCGAAAGCTCATAAACCTAACTCATAAATGGCTATAGATATTGAACACCTACTCACTGCCAAAGCCCAAGATCCTATAAGATGATTCTGTAAAGCACAGGCCAGATTTACCTCAGATGTCTGCCAGTTCTGACAACAGAAACATAACCCTGACATGAGGTTTCATAGGAATTAAAGTACTGTTTCTCCCTTTGGAACTGTCGCCCTCCCATGTTAACCAGTTAACATTGCACTTGAACATACAGTATCATTTCTATTTTCACAGGTTTTACTGCCATTCTGTATAGGGCCATGAGTTAGTCATTATGACAGACAGTGTCGTTCAATAGGTTTTAAATGAGAAGTTTAAAGGAGCAATCTGGGTTTTGAAAAAACATCAATGTGGTCACCAAAAACAAGAGCTGTCCAAAATGGATGTTCCAATCCCAGATTGCCCTTTTAAACCTCTCTGAGGGCATGTCAAGGCACTTTAAAGATGACACACCGGACTTAATCAACTGGTCTCTGAGGGCGATGACCTCACCAGGTTTAAGAGCAGGAAGGAGAATATCTGACCACCATCTGGCTTTATTACATGACCCAAGGCAGGGGAGGGAAAACACACAAGGCTTGTAAATGTGTGACCACAGCTGTAGTTTCAGCTGCACTGTGTGTGTGTGTGTGTGTGTGTGTGTGTGTGTGTGTGTGTGTGTGTGTGTGTGTGTGTGTGTGTGTGTGTGTGTGTGTGTGTGTGTGTGTGTGTGTGTGTGTGTGTGTGTGTGTGTGTGTGTGTGTGTGTGTGTGTGTGTGTGTGTGTGTGTGTGTGTGTGTGTGTGTGTGTGTGTGTGTGTGTGTGTGTGTGTGTGTGTGTGTGTGTGTGGGACTTGGGCTGCTGCCACGTGCAGCAAATGAAAAGACAGAATTAGGTCATCTCTTAAACCATGGTCATCTCTTACATTTTATTATGGTCACCTCCTCTCATATACCCTAACAATGACCTGCTAGGTTGCGACATTAAGTATCACATTAATATGAATTAACCACAGTATGAGGTGATTTATATACAGGGAAGGGTCCATTACATAATACTCTACAGAGTGTCAGTTCCATTGTATGTTCTTTGAGCTCAGCTGAACCAGGGAACCTAGATAGTGTGCACTGTTTTTGATCAGGGCCCATAGGGATATGGTCAAAAGTAGTGTACGATATAGGAAACAGGATGCCATTTGGGATGCAACCACAGTGTGACTTATCAGTTACAGAGACCTCACCGATGAAACGTTTGGTCAATGTACTGTAAATGATAGCTCAAGGTTTCTGGAAAAACAGTAAATGTCCCATCAGTCAAACTAAGTGATCTGCTGTTAATGTAGTTCCCATACGTTAGTGATTAAGTAGGCTAGCTCTAGTGGAGCCCCTGAGGCTACAGTTACAGTGTGGATGAATTCTAAGGATATGATGAATGTGTATTAATAATTTGAGTTTAATTTATCGGATGACTCATCCACAGGTTAAATATCAGTTGGCTGGGGCCAAATGAGAATACTGCTGTGCTAACTAACATGCCAACATGCAGACAGTATGATATATCTGAAGGATGTCGATTTGAGACGGGTGTTATATTACCTTACTAACAATTACCTTACTAACAGGCCCTGCGGTCAGATCTTTCACTGTTGTATTTGAATAATTCAAACGTGTTGCTCTGGGCCTGTATTCATAAAGCATTCCAGAGTATGAGTGCTGATCTAGGATCAGCCCCCCCCCCCCCCCCCCCCCCATGCAGCAGCATGATCACACATCTAAAAGGTAAAAATGATCGTAGATCAGCTCTCTAACTCTTGACTTCAGAACGCTCCTTGTCCAACAAAACCTGTAAACCTTGCAAAACGTTGATTTGCCCTCTTCATAAACCCAAGCTGTGTTCCATCCTGGGCCAGGCAGAGTTGGAGCAGCAACAGTCAGACATTGTTGATACAGTTGGAACCACTTCACTTCCTTTCCTCAGTGAGCGGCCCAGGACCTGCTGTTTGCTCACAGGCAGCTGTGCCCTAGTTCTGACTGCCTGGGTCCAGTCAATCACCACTGACCTACAGCTCTGTGGTTTGAAGCTGTCTGAAGTTTGTATGTATACTCTACAGGTCCTGGAGGAAAACACTGTCCTGCTCTGTGACTTGGCCCACTGGGTGAGCACAGAAAGATCAGAAGTGTGGACACAACACAAACACACTGTACATCCACATCAACCAGAGTTGGAAATGTACGCAGTGGCAGAGACACCACAGGGTCACAGCAGTACAGGGGCTAAGCGTCTCAGAGTAGGAATGCTGATCTAGGATAAGGTCTCCCCTGTTCGTATACTCTTGTTAATTATAATCTGAAAAGGGACAACTGATCCTAAATCAGCACTCAGATTTGTGAATACAAAATTGTAACGGCTCCACCTAGTGCTCCACTATTGCCAACATAACATAAAACAAATTCATTAAAGAGGAATGTTCTTCTGCATACTATGGAGAACAGATGTGAGCTGGAGAGCATGTTTTGTTAGATAATTGTTATATTTACCCTTGCCCAAAGAGTAATGCAAAGCCTTTTGTAGTTTTGTTACAGTATAAATATATAAAATTTTTCACTCTTGATCATACAGTGCAGTTACTCAAAATCGTATTTTAATATACAGAATATGAAAGGGAGTCAAATTAACAACAAACAGTCAGACATTATTTTACAAACAAATACAAGTGGTAGAACTACAGTGAAGATTGCAGCTGGTTTCTGGGGAGTTGGGTTATTGGGTTCAGGTTATTGGGTTCAGTCATTGCAGGGGCTGGGACTGGTGCATGGGGCTGGAAATAAGGCAGGTGCCTGAGCTTGGGCTGGGGCTTGGGTTGGAATCAGTGCAAGGGGCTGGAGTCAATGGGTGTTGGGGTAGGGGATTAGGAAGGGTCTGGGATGGAGTTTGTGTAGGAATCAGGTCTGAAGTCAGGGCTGGGCGGAGTGGTTCTGGTCAGGTGTGGGTGCTGTGGTCTTGAGGTGGTTGAGGGGAAGGGCCAGGGGCAGGGCCTGTAGTAAGGCCGTCTCCAGGCGCTGCAGCAGGGCGTCCAGCCACTGGTCCATGTGTTCCATCAGCCTCCTCTCCATCTGCAACTCCATAACCTGCTCCAGCTCTCTGCAGCAGGTATGCTCCTGCCTGCGAGACAGAGACAATCCATCACAGAATAGGTTTTCATAGGAATTACAGTATCTCTTTGGATCTGTTGCCCTCCCATGTTAACCCGCTAACATTGCACTTGAAAATATCCTCTCCTATCCTTACAGGTTTTACAGCCATTACTGTAATAGGGCTAGGGGTTCTCTGACAAGACCTGCAGTCATACAGACACACAAACCCCAACAAAGACATTTACTCTAACATTAACACAGACACACCACAATTCAGCCAGAACCACTACAAAACCCACAGATAGACATGGTCAGCCCTGACATCCTCCATCAACTTGACTCCTAACCACAATATCTGGACTGCATTCTACTCTCACCACCCACCCTACCATGTAAACCTTTAGAGGGAGTTTTACATTGTAGTTAACCTCACCATAAAGCCACTACCAGCCTACTGTTTTTGCAGCATCCTCGATGCTGAGCTGCGTCACATGCCCACACACACTCTGCAGCATAGGGAACATGTCTGGGCCGATGCAGGGCCTCCATCCTCCTGGCTGGCCGTTAAAGAAGGGTGACATCATGTCTGCCAGGCTGGTGTGGTTATTGGAGGCTACCCGAGACTGGGGACATGGATCTGGTGAAACAGAGCCAGACATCTCGTCTGGCTGGAGGCTGGTGTTGACTGAAGGCTGGATGTCAGCTGTAGCTGCAGAGGGTCTGTTAGTTCCTTTAGCCAGAGCAGAGTCAGCCCCACTGCCCATGAGGAGGGACAGAAACCCACTCAGTGCGTCAAGCTTTGTTCTGGAAAAACACCAAAGATTAACATACAATAAATTAACATACAATCCATCGATTGTCTTTTGTGTTCACTAGTTAGAGCTTCTTGCTATCCGAGGGCTATATTGGTGGGTAGAAGACTGAACAATACAATAAAGCCACTGTCTTCTGTGTAATTCCGGCCTGTGTAATATTCCACTGAGGCTTCTATTGACTGGTATTGGTGACTGCTGATTTGACGAGAACTGGACCCACCTTCTGCTGAAACTGCACCATGTCCATGGGACTCTGGGACCCCGGTGAGAGGGTGGTGACCATCTCCTCCATCATGCACTGCACACAGAGCCCCAGGCTTGGAGAGCAGTCTGCAGGTGTCTGAGTCTGCAGGCCCATCACGACCAGAGCCACAGCCACTCTCCCTCGCCCACCAAGAGACAGCAGCTGAGAAAACACAAGAGGTTAGAGCAAGAGAGGGCACACCCATACCCTCTACCCACACTATCATAACTAGACAGGTAAAGGGGATACGTCAATGGATTTCATGTTCACAGAGACACGGCTATGCGCTAGTAGGGAAATGCTAGACATCACAATTATTTTCTACGGCAACGGGAATGTGACTGAAGTAGGTAGACAATCTGGTGTTGATTTGAAAGCTGTGATTGACATACATACCTTCACCTCACATGATGTGTTGGGGAACTCCAATATTAAGTGTTTCCTTTAAAAGGGTCATCTCTCTGCACTGGTAAGGGGGGAAAAGGATAGACAATATTACACCCAATTACCATACTGTACCAATTTAGAAGACATACCATCCACCTTTTAGTAGAATATTTGTTAACATAGAAATTGTGCTAGGCTGTCAAACATACATATAACAAAGAAGTGCAACAGTAGTCCACAGCTGTATGGCTTAAAAATTCAAACTATCCTAGGGCGTGCATCCCAAATGGCACCATATTTCCTACTAAGTGCCCTGGTCAAAAGTACTGCCCTAATATATAGGGAATATATAGGTCTACCACCCTGCAACGCCCCAACCCAACACACCCCACTCAGCTTTAGGATCTTAGTGAAACATTCATTATTGGTTTCAGGTGTGTTAGGCCAAGGCCAGAGTGACAACCCACAGGACGGCAGACCCCCAGGGACAGGACTGAGCAGCCCAGCAGCTAGGGATTGCCTAAATACGTATCTCCCCTGACATGGGCGTGTTTTCAATACAGACTCCTTTAGACGTACTGTATTCCATATAAGGCATCCAGATCTTATGAAAGTTGCCCAGTACACTCTTAATCTTGTAATCTTGTAATGTACATATTACCTCAACTACCTCAACTAGCCGGTGCCCCCGCACATTGACTCTGCAACGGTACCCCCCTGTATATATAGCCTCCCTACTGTCACTTTATTTTACTTCTGCTCTTTTTTTCTCAACACTTTTTTTGTTGTTGTTTTATTCTTACTTTTTTTGTTTAAAATAAATGCATGTTGGTTAAGGGCTGTAAGTAAGCATTTCACTGTAATGTCTGCACCTGTTGTATTAAGCGCATGTGACCAATAAAATTTGATTTGATTTGAATTAATCAAATCTAGTGATACATACAGTGAGGGAAAAAAGTATTTGATCCCCTGCTGATTTTGTACGTTTGCCCACAGACAAAGAAATTATCAGTCTATAATTTTAATGGTAGGTTTATTTGAACAGTGAGAGACAGAATAACAACAAAAAAATCCAGAAAAACACGTCAAAAATTTTATAAATTGATTTGGATTTTAATGGGGGAAATAAGTATTTGACCCCTCTGCAAAACATGTCTTAGTACTTGGTGGCAAAACCCTTGTTGGCAATCACAGAGGTCAGACGTTTCTTGTAGTTGGCCACCAGGATTTTGTCCCACTCCTCTTTGCAGATCTTCTCCAAGTCATTAAGGATTCGAGGCTGACGTTTGGCAAGTCGAACCTTCAGCTCCCTCCACAGATTTTCTATGGGATTAAGGTCTGGAGACTGGCTAGGCCAATCCAGGACCTTAATGTGCCTCTTCTTGAGCCACTCCTTTGTTGCCTTGGCCGTGTGTTTTGGGTCATTGTCATGCTGGAATGCCCATCCATGACCCATTTTCAATGCCCTGGCTGAGGGAAGGAGGTTCTCACCCAAGATTTGATGGTACTCAATAGCGTATCTTACTCATTCACCTCAGTAGAGATGGGATGAAACATTAGCTAACGTTACGTGTCAGTTACAAGCGCAGCACTGCGAATAAACACTAGTTTAGTTTTTCAAAAGTTAAACAGCAGTTACCTTGTGTCGTAGTAAATATATAATGTTATAGCTTGGTCTGACTAAAATCTTGTGCATAACCCATCTTGTGTTGGGCCTTTGGATTTAATACAATGCACAAAGACTTCTATCTTGTCGGCCTTATCAGCAGGTGGCTATGGACAACACCCACGCCATAGGTCTCTCAGTTCTTCCAACTCATGAGTTATTGCGCTGAGGACACACACACACACACACCCCCACACACACACACACACATACACACACACACACACACACACATCATCATTGTTAAACATACACACACATACACACACACACACACACACACACACATACACATACACACACACACACACACACACATCATCATTGTTAAACATACACACACATACACACACACACACACACACACACACACACACATACACACACGCACACACACACACACACACATCATCATTGTTAAGCACACACACACACAAAAACCCCCTTCTCTTAGGCTGAACATCTGAAGACAGAGAACCCGACTCAGAGCCAATGCAATGGAGGTGACCTCGACCAACTCATCAGGACCAATCAGAAGATCAGAACTACTAGAATCAACCTACTTTATTTTATTGTATAAAATGTCAGCACACAATGTTTAGGGGCTCGCGCTCTCAGATATCTCCCTACGAGGTTGACGAACGGGTCCGTGCACGCGATTTCAGATATCTTTACCTCTGAATAAACTGCCTTATATTATACAATTATCCACCTTGTCCGAAAGTCTCTACTTGGTCTCCGTTCTCCAGTAAACTTGTGATCATCAACAAACTTGGTAGCAGAGGGTGGTTTTCTAACTCTGAATTCGGTCCATAAAAGTTGATAGAGACAGGAGACAAGTAAGAGACGGATCTGAAAGGACGGGTGACCTGTCCGCAGGAGCAGCCGGGAATCCAGCTCGCCTCAGGAAACTGATCTAGACGGCCGTCAATACAAAGGTAAGCAGAACCTGTTAAAACAAAATCTGCATATTGTATTGTAGGATAAACCCAAATTATGATCAGTAGTACTGGGCGTGAGTATGGATTACTGTGAAATTTATAACATATCTATTATGACTCAAAAGGCACATATGTAAAGATATCTGAATTCTTTAGGTTTTTACTGTTGAAATGTGACTCTAGAGAAGAGTCTAGTTACAGAGGTTGTGGTTCACGAGAGACGGACCCTTTTATTTTTACTGTTGAAATGTGACTCTAGAGAAGAGTCTAGTTACAGAGGTTGTGGTTCACGAGAGACGGACCCTTTTTATTTTTTGCTGTTGATGCTGATAAATCTTAGGTTTTTACTGTTGAAATGTGACTCTAAGAGAAGAAGTCTAGTTACAGTGGTTTTATTTTCTGTTGAAATGCGGCTTTCTAGTGAGGAGCCTATTACAGAGGTTTTGGTTCACAAGCGATGGACCCTTTTATTTGATCCACAAGAGAAGGATCTGGTGACTTGATAAAAAGATTCAGATAGTCGGGTTGAGTTAATTCCGTGAGAATCCAAGTCCAGAAAAGGTTCTCCCGACTAGACGCCAGTTGAATGGTTTAAACGACTGGGAGTCTCCTTGAGGAGAATCAAAAAAAATAAAAATAAAAATACAAGTTCAGATAGTCGGGCAATTGGTTGACGTGGCACTCAACTATATGTACTGTGAGGAACTCAAACTGAATTCGTGTGTTGATGCTGATATGTAATGAAAAATGTAATTGTTGAAATGATAACCTGAATGTTGTGTAAGATTGGCCGTTTCATGAGACTAACTAGTTGATAACTTTTAAGAGGACCACCGAGTCCTATTTTGCCTGTTATGTAGCCGCTGCGCTAAAAGCTGACTTGAACTTTTTCCCTCTTGTGGTGTTGGTATTTTCATAATTCCTAAAATTAAACTGATAATTATTTTAGGAGCGCTCGAGTTTGCTAATATATTGTTCCAAAAGGGCGATTCTGATACCTTTTGGGAAAATATATAATAACTCGAATACCTGAAAAACAATAATAACTTTTGCAAAATAATTCCCAAAATTAAATTGATAATTATTTTAGGAGCGCTCGAGTTTGCTAATATATTCTTCCAAAAGGGCGATTCTGATACCTTTTGGGAAAATATATAATAACTCGAATACCTGAAAAACAATAATAACTTTTGCTAAATAAATTCCTAGAATTAGATTGATAATTATTTTGGGAGCGCTCGAGTTTGTTAAATGTATTGTTCCAAAAGGGCGGTTCTGATACCTTTTGGGAAAATATATAATAATTCGAATAATTGAAAAACAATAATACCTTTTGCAAAATAATTCCTAATAATAAAGTATTGAAAATTTTTTGTGTACGAGGGTGGGACATCAGAGATAAATCTCAGTCAGCGCCAAGAATACATTGCTGGATTCGGCCAGTGACGGGCTAAGAGCACCAAGATAGTCTAAAAAAAAAAACTGTATAACCATGGCAACCACTACCGTCCCAAAACTCAAGTTTAATGAATATCTAGATCAAAAAATACAGGATAGAGCGGGAGTGGTGCCGAATGGATTTTAATTCGATCTAAAAGTTGGTGCGAGAGGAAAAGGCAAATCATCGATCTAAAAACAGACGGAAGAGTGACCTGAAAATCCTGGAGGAATCAACTATTCGTCTTGGCTCAGGAAACCTGATCAGAGCGCGCTCTTCTAAAAAGGTATGCAGAGCCTGTTAAAACGAAATCTTGCATATTGTATTATAGACCAATACCAAATTATGATCAGTAGTACTGAGCGTGAGTATGAATACTTGTTAAATAATTTTCCATCCTAATGAATTAAGGCATACATGAGATATCTGGTACTGTGTTTTATACTAAGGAATTAAGGAATAAGGAATAAGGAATAAAGATAAACGTATCCAGAATGTGTCGAACTACGGATTGACGCATTGGTGGATAAGATTTGACCCACAACTAGATTCCTAAAGGGACCCAGTTTGAACTGAGACCTTTTGCATAAATCCTATTAGGGGAGGTCCTACCCTATAGGTTGCGAGGAGGTAGAAGTTTAACTGTGGCAGAGTTCTAGACATTAGGTGGGGGAGTGGTGTCAGAAGTATGTTTTCTGATAGGTATTGGACTCCTGCTGGGCACTCCTTATGAGGTGTTGCTGTGTGAAGCTATTTTGAATTACTTGTTAAATTGACTTGTAATATAGAAGAGGTGGCTAAGGGATTTTTAACAGTACCAACCATGGGGGGGGCAAATCCTCACAAGAGGTCCCAGAATTTACTGGGGACGAGAAATGCTTGATGTAATTAAAATGGAATCCAGGGATAGCTTCAAATCTCCATTATATAACCAGGTGGAGGGAGAGGTATGGTTTTGAGGGACGTCTGGACGCAGATAAACTCGAATCCATGCTTAAAACAGATACATAAGCAGTGGCGGCTCCTGAAAAAATTCTCAGGAGGGGCAATTTTTCTGATGATTTAGGTGACCTACACACATTTAAAAAAAGATATGTCCAGCAACAA